GAATAAGTAAAACTGTTCTAAGGATATGAGGGTCATACTATACTGGTTTTAAGATTTATAGTCTTATTTACAAAGTATTCATTTTATTTTTGTAGAAACCCATTCAGATAATTAATTCTGGTAATTACGTAAATATTGCAAATTGAAAAAAATCTTCTTTATAAAAGATTCTGTTTCACTCTGATAGACAATAAAATAAGAAACACACAGCTTCCTTGCTCATCTGGAACCACATTTTATCATTAAAATATTTTACCAGTATTTTAAAGAAAAGTCATTTCTGAAGGTGAACACAGGAAATATAAGCAAATTTACAATCAAAATTGTTGAAAATAAAAGTCTGTTATAGAATCTTAAAAAATCAGTCATCATGGCATTCTGTCAGTTCTTTATTTTTTCTCTCTCTCTAAAATCTAGCACATTTACAGCATACATGGACAGATGAAATAAGCCTATATAAAACAGTAACCATATGTGTATGTTATATTAATACTGCCCCAAACAAATAAATAATAAAATTTCAATGCACAAAGCTTGGCAAATACAACAGTGTTGGGACGAAACGGTGCTCTATTTTACAATAGCTTTACATACGTACATAAAACCCAAAGGCAACTGTGCTGTGGGTGCTTTCACAGAACATAACACAGAACATACTTGGCAGCAGTTTCCTTCATACCCTGTTATGGGTTTCATTTTTAAAATGTACTTAAAAAGAACACTTGCTTGGATTCTATTTTATAACAATCTGCAAGGATGCCCTCAGTAAAAAAGAAAGAAAAGAAAAAATTTTTTTACAAAATCTACTTAGATGAAATTTTCTATAAGGATTTCTGATTTCAGAGTTTCCCAATTTTGATCAAATTTTGTTCAGTCTGTGATTGCAACCCCTTTGATACGTATGCTAACTTGTCCCTATAAAATAGTATCTGTGCATGGTTGGTCTGCATGTTGATTAAAAATATGGCATGAGCCATTGCATGCTTTCCCCACATTTAAGGATAGCAATGGGACAGCTAGGTCCCCTAACTGTGAAAATAAAACATGTATATGAGGAATTCAGGGGAGTACTGTAATGCTCAATGTGCATTATTAGCAAAGTCTCACAGAAGGGAATGCAATTTTATACAAACGGGTTTTTTTTTTAAGTAGTGTAAATAAATTACGTCTATGCAAGAGACTGATGGTAATTCAAAAAAGGCATTACTAAAAATCCTAAATGTTTCTTTCCTCAGTGTGCTCAAGACAATATACATGGTTTTCTCCTTCCCATTTCATCCTTATAAAACCCTTGTGAGAAAAGTCAGGCTGAGTGAGAACAGCTGGTCTCTCACACTGCCACCCAATCAGCTCTTGTCTTTTTTAATGCCCATTCTACTTCATAAGGGATTTATATGCAACTCAGTAGAAAACCATGCCTCTGCATGTGCAGTATTTTACTTTTTTATTAAGAGAATGAGGAAACAACTGTACAGTGTGTTTAACCTTTGCCTGCAAGGGATGTCATGTTGGTGACAGTTTATACATTCACTGCTAAACACATATGGCTAGCAAAACGATTTAAGATTAGAACATTGACATGAGCGGTGTGTCCATGAGCTTCAAGCATGCTTTGTGGCCTATGGAGTCACTCCCACCCCACTCCCCACCCCACTCCCCACCCCAGTTCTTTTCTTTCCAAGGTGAAACATGCTCCTCAGTCATCTGTCCACATTGGTGGGTTTTACTTTTGTGGATTTGATTAAAAATGTTATCTCTAGGAATATCTAGATCTTATAGTGTGGCTTTGTGGTCAACTTCCTCCAGTCATGCTGGAGAGCAGGGAGATTTTGAGAGAAAATATCTCTCTAGGAATCCCTAGGTCCCCAATGTGATTCTATGACCAGCTTTCAGTGGTGGTTGACTATAGAGTCATGCTGGAAGATCTAGACATTCCTAGAGAGATATTCTCTCAAGTAAATAAATAGCATTTCAAAATAATTCATGGCGCCCTGTACCCCTAACACTGGCAAATGTGGAGGAATGATTGCATACTCCAAGGAACTGTAACTCCCATTTAAAGCAAGGAAGAGGAATCCTGTTCCCCTTGTTTTAATGAAAAATAGAGACACAACTCTTTAAACCAGGCATCTTCAAACTGTGGCCCTCCAGCTGTTTCGACCTCGAACTCTCAGAACCCCTAACAAGCTTGTTCAATTGTCAGGAATTCTGGGAGTTGAAGGCTCAAACAGCTGGAGGGCCGCAGTTTGAGGATGCCTGCTTTAAGTCGTAAGTTCTCTTCCAGGGTTCTGAATAGAGAAAGGGGAATAAACCTAAAGGGGGGTAAACCTATAGTGGGTGATGTGGCTGGATCAACAAAACTGTTGAAGTTGCTCACCTCTGATTTAAATGAACATAATCTTCATAATTCAATAGCCCTTTCCTCTGAAACATTATTTAAAAAGCAGAAACAGAATACATTAAGTGTTTACACATACAGTAAATATAGAGTATATAATTAGAAGATGGTGAACACAGCATAAATAAGAAGTAATATAAGTTTAACACTGTATGAAAGATTGTTTGCCTGCTCTATGAGGAGTCTTCCCAATAGTACAACTTTAACGTTGTTCACAGAGTTTTTCCAATTCAGACAGAGTTCTGAGGTTAAGCATAAGTCTGAAAGGGCATAACAAAGTTGAATGAATAATTTTTTAAAAATCTAATTCAGCAAAGTAATTATTAACATGTAGAACAGCTAAATTATTAAACTCCTAAAAGCAAATGGTAAAACCTATGTCTGTGGACTGAGAATAAGTACTGAAAGTTTCCAAGTAAACAGAAGTAGCAGGAGAAAGTAAAATACATTCAGAAAATGTAATGTGTATACCACATGTGTAGTTTGTTGAGAACAACTAAAGCACATTTCCTATTTCCTTTAGAAGGCTGGTGATACTCAAGACCTGTAAGTCAGCCTACTGATTTGAGTGGAATTTGAAAGTGAAGAAAATTGTTATGGATTGCAGCCTTCAAATATAAGTGACTATCATAATTTTGACTGAAATGATATGACGGAAGATGTGAGATCACACATTTCTATTGTTCATCAAATGTTTAAAAGAAACACTGTTTCTCTCTACCACTCTCAGAGGCTGGCACAATTTAAAACTATGGAGTAAAATTAGGAGGGAAAAACGCCCCCTCCCTAGTAAATACAATGCATATATCATCAGATTAACCTGAAATTCAAAGTTATCATGCTTCAAAATAGGCATTTTGAGTGAAATTTAATTAAAAGGTGTCAAGCACTTTCATGTTTGTTTTTTAAAAATGTGTCTTTGGGGAGGTCCTTTACATTTAGTCCTTTTTTGGAATTAGAAAAGAATGCTGAGGAAAAGAACACTGGATTACAGTTTGCTAAAAAAATTAAATTCTGTATAACAGCAGGCTGTTGATGTAGCAAATATCTTTAGTACCTGGACAAAGGCTTGCATGCATGGAAGATCTGCCTCGTGCAAGTAAGCTTTCATAAGATTTTGCTATGCATGAAAAAAAGGATCCAAGAACTACTTGTTGGCTTGCACTGAATGTTATTATACAGAAGGCTGAGCAATTCACACAGAAAGTGGAGCAAACTGATAGGGATTGGAAGCAAATGATGATGTAGATAGGCAATCCTTATTGGTGCTTCAAAATAAAGATGATACTCCCGTTGCCTGTCTGATCTGTAACACAGATGAGACCTCAAGTGTCAATTAGGTTCTCATTCATTACTCGTCACATGCAGTATTTTGTCGTGTGCATCTAATTTGCTTGGGCCTTACAAGTATTGTGTGTTAGCAATAGACACACAAACATAAAAAGCATCATTAATCAAAATCAGAATAAAAAAGATCTGGGCTTTGTGTTATTTCCTGGCCATATGTATCACAAATCCTGTATATAATTGTCTTACAATTATGTAAAACATGCTAAACTCTTCAATCTGTATTCATTGAGCTGCCCTGTTTTGGAAACTGAGCATTACCTCCTTCTGCAGAATAATGCTTCTTGTACTTCTCAAGCTGCCTTATGTCCAATTTATTTACTATTTACAACTCTGAGGTTTTAAAAAGTATTATGAAAGTCTCAATCTCAAATCAATGCCGTATAAAAAAAATGAGTGAAGCAGCTGCCTAAATATCATTACTTAAATCCGCGACAATCCAAGAACAATCTTTCTTATTTAGGCATATAGGTAAGAAATCAGTTGTATAGAATATTGAGGCATCTTACATACACTGATGGCTAGTGACATGAGCAGTCATCACAACTTATTTTCATGTTACACATTTTTTGTTTCCTAAGGAATCCAATTTCATAAAATTACATGCTCAATATTACACCTAGTGAAACATACCAAAATTATTTCTGACATTTCTGTCAAAGTCCATATACTAAAGTTGAGTGTATCCACATGTTTCAACAGAACAACTAATTACAAGACACTGAAATCCTATGATTCAACTTTTCCATAAGTTCCTTCTGGAGGCCTGTAATACTTGGGGAAAGCCTTCAGCTGCAGGGAATTAAATGCATACTTGCGACATCCAACATTCTTCATTGTATTTTCTCTTCGACAACCCTCACTGAGGAGAAAGACAAGCACAAAAGAAAATGACAGTGGTAAAAACGAAAAACAAAACAAAAACAAAAAAGCCCAAATATTTAAACTGTAATGAAATGAGGCAGTTACTTCACAGCATTAACATACTTGAATGGGTGCTTGAATCATTTGCCATTGCAAATATCAAAAGTTGTGAAATCACTAAACAATGATGCGCATGAAATAGAGACATGCTATGCCCAGCGGCTGTTCTGAAAAGCAGTGTGCCTTGTTGCAATGCATGTCTGTCTTTGTAGTATGCTCAAATATTTCATGGCATAATATGTCATTTTATTGCACACAGACACTCATCAATGATGAAAAAAATGCCATTTTCTAACTAAATGTTTTGAAATAACAACAAATCCCTCCATAATAAGTTCAGCAACGGCTTTACTGAAGGTTGGAAGAATCACCGGATAAACTGTCAAGCACAAACAGTCTGTTTGAAGAAAATAAATGAGCACTAACACAATCACTGTCCCTGAAACTTGTACACTTTTTGGTTGGTTTGGGGGGATGACTTTTTCATATCCAGACATCACCCAAATGCAAGAAACTTTTCAACATTTAGCTATGCAAAATTTTCTCATTTTTATCTATCACACATATAATGCTGCTAAGCTTCTAACCTGGGAAATCAAGGGGGCTATGGGTTTGTGCAACCCCTTCCCCATTCTTCTCCAAGGCAAATATCCAATCTCTTCACTTCCAGGATTTAACGGTGGTTTACTGTTTCAATGTTAACTATGACTAACCAGGTTCCTTATTAACCAAGGAAGGGCAGTGAGCCACCTTTAAATCTTGCTTCCTATGGAAATCTGAGTTAACCTTGTTATCCAGAAACCATGATTAATACAGAAGAAAGAGAAAGGAAGGAGAAAATTCAAGGACAAAGTGGAAAATACAAGAAGGGGTGAACAGCACTGCCAGCTTGCTCTCTTAATCACAGGTTAGAGATTGGCAATGAAAGTAGCTTGTGAACAGAGCAAAGGGAGTAGCACACAAAATTTGGGAAGAGATATCCTACTTGGTACAGACTATAAGACACCCAGCAATGCTACAATAGTGGCTACTTTAACATTTAGAGCCTGGGTTCTATACTCTATTGCACTTATTCATCATAATCCTGAAATCCATTGCAAAGGCCACTCAGTTTTATGAAACACAGTGCTTAAAAACGGCTATACAAGGAAGCACATCATTTCAATTTACATAGACCATCAAAATATATTTCCTATTTTTCTTTCTTTGGCTCCTTTGAACACAGAAGAAAACAAAAGAAAAGAAACGTGGTTACATGCCAGTGCAGAAGCATAAGAAAAACATATGGCTACGATATAGCTCATTCATATTTCAACAACTAAGGACAGAAACATTTAACATGCTCTTTGTCAAACTGGAGCAACATTGTTTCCAAAGTGCACTGGGGTTTGATTTATAATCATTTATTCCATGAGCAGTATAAGGCAAGATCGAATCACACATGTTCTTTTAAAAAGCTTTTTTGATTTTGGGGGAGGATAAAGTAAATGATTATGTCTCATGTTGAAATCAATAGGATTAATATTCCCTTTACCTTTTTTCATCTTTTTACGGAACTGGGCAGAGCTGGTATCTTTAATTCAACTATAATATATGTGATTTAATTTCATGGATAAGTTATTTTATAATCATTTCCCCAAAACACTGTATTTTACCATAGTAATATGGTGATCCTTATTTAAAATAGCAAAATTAAGGCTTGCTTTTTGGAATTTTGGAATATTTTCAGCCATGGATGGTTGGATTTGTGAATGTAGAAGCAGTGGATATGGAGGGCTGGATATATCTGTAGATATAGGATGACATCCAAATTCATTAGAAACAATAACAATTTCTTCTGAACTTAAATATACAGACAAAACTGTACATGTACAGCAGTTGCCAAAAGGCTAAATCAAAGTTGGGAAGATGCAGCTCTCCAGATGTTGTTAGTCTAAATTTCCAGCAGCTGTAGCCAGCATCGCTAAAGATGTGAAATTCTAACAGCTGCATGCAATGTAAAAGAAAAAGTACAAAGCCACATGATTTTTATGTTTTAACTGTTAGTTAAATATGTGGTAAATGTTTGTGATGTATCACAATTTGTTTATTTAAGTCATTAGATGGTATAATTTTTCGTTCCTTTGCAATTCGTTACTGTATGCTTTATATTGCGATTATTTTATTTATTGTTTATCTGTTATTTGTGTGTTGTTGGCATTGAATATTTGCCTCTTTTGTTGGAAACTGCCCTGAACCCCTCTCCCAGGGTGATAGGGCAGGGTACAAATAAATTATTATTATTATTATTATTATTATTATTATTATTATTATTATTATTACTATTATTATTATATATTGTTATTATTATTTCCGCCTGGGGCAAATGCCAATTAATCCCACTAAAAGGGACCCGCAAATTGGTGGGACTTAACCATCTTGCTTTAGTTAGAAGCAAAGGACCGATTATTTGCCAACAAAGCTCAAAAATAAACAAGTGACACCTGGAAGCTTCGGTCTCAGCAGGGGAGTGAACGCACTCTGGATTTTGAGCTAAACTTCAAAGTAATTGTCCAAGGTACTGAATTTATCAGGTTCATATTGTTGGATAGCTTTTTAAAGGACTATGGACCCATATAATATAATATTCTATTAATAATTTGGAGTACATTACGTTTTCTTGCCTGGTTGAAGAAAGAAGATTTCTGATGGTGCAATTAATGGGACAACTGGCTACTTGCAAGCCTAGCATTGATTCCTCATATGAAAAAGCCCAGTACATGCAGTGGAAATTTCCAAGAGACTTCTAAATGTTGTATTCTGTTGCCCTACATTAATATATTGGATCACATTAATTTTGATGCCCAACATAAAAGGAGAATGCAGCAGTTCCCATTCAACTCTGGTAACATACAAATCACTCAATGTTGGGCATCAAAATTAATGTGATCCAATATATTAATTTAAGTGGGATGTAGTGCAACAGAATATAACATTTAGAAGTCTTGTCTGTCTTATTACTTTTAATATCCAATTATTTTCACTAAATAACCATGTAGAAAATAAGTGATAATTGTCTGTTGTTGCCCATTGAAATTCTAGTATATTTTTTCTGGGGACACTTACTGATATATGTAAGCATCTCTCAGATATTGTAAGGTTTAACATTTAATACAGAGTTGAATGAATTAGGGCATCTTTTATGGCAATATTAAATACTACTATTCACATATGGTGTTACCATAGAATATAAAAATATTTCTCCAAAGAAGATGTAAATAGAATGATGATCAAATAAGCTACACTTTCTACATTCTCTTCTCTTTTTGATAGAATAAAAAAGTAGGTATATAAATATACTGAAAGTATATTGCATGCAGTACACTGCTGTTCAAGTTAATTATTTTTAAAATGGATATAATATGTTGCAATTTATCTAACTATGAGAAAAGGATATATATATAGTTAGAAGCTCTGATAATAATTTAGGAAGTATGGGTGAAAATCAAAGCAGAAAGGTGTGCAAATACATATTTTTAGATAACGGTTACAAGCCCCGCCTTTTTGTTCACGTATCACGTTAATATGAAAGGCAAGAATGACATACTGTTAAGAATATACAAAAAAGATACAAATTATTTTTAGACAGAGTTCCTTTCTCCCGAATACATGAAACACATGAAACAAAACTGTATGTGATTAAAGAGTGAGAGAAAGATACACAGGATTTGGATGCCTGAAAAATATTTGGTAGGAGAAATTAATCTTCAGGCTGCCGTCAGATTATGTTACAAGCACTGAAAGTGTAACAACAGTTTAAGCGTTCAATACAATTCCTTTTCATAAAATAATTTGATGTGTATTTACAGGTTTAGTACAATAGAAACACAAAATTGTAAGGCATAATAATAATAATTCCTGGCAGACAATGCTATGAGACATTCCTTTTTGACAAATAGGTACCAGGTGGCAATAAATAATTCTGGCACTTCATTGGATTTTGGCTTTATTTGTTTTTAAACTGATCTTCATTTGCAACGTAATCTGGCCACCAGGTAAGCCACGCTCAGAAACAGCCACACAATCAGTAAATTGGGGCTCAGAGCTAGTAAAGGAATAGAGTAGAGAAGACTGGGATCTAGCCTGAAATCACGGATGGGCACCAGGCCACACAAGTTCTTCTGGGTGACTACCTCCCGTGTTCCAATACTGTGAAAAGGAAGAAGTTTGGGGAGAAAGGAAAATAAGAGGAAGGAAGAAACACGGGCATGCAGTGGATGTACCAAAAGAGAAGGAAAACAACAAACCCAGGTTAGCAAAGTAAAGCAAAATCCAATCAAGAACAGGGAAAGAAAAATTTGGAAGAAGCCATAACAGAAAGTAGAACGTGATAAGTAAAAGAATAGGGAGGTGTGCCAATTTTAAATAATAATAATAATAATAATAATAATAATAATAATAATAATAATAGGCACAATTACAGAATAAAGGAGAGAGAAAGAGAATAAAAAGAGAAAATAAGAAAGAATACTGTAGTCTACTGAAAAGAATACATGTAGATTGAACAAAAATGGTTTTCCATGTTCATTTTCTCATTTGGCCAAGCAAATGTCCCATGCTGCTCTGCCATGCTTCTACATGCTGCAAAGAAGTGGAACTCTGAAAAGCAAAACTGAACATGAATAACCATTGTAGCATTTGACCCTTTCAAGAATTCTTCAATGCAAGATGTTCTGGATTAACTGAATGACCTAGCTATATAAACAAATAACAAAAAATACATAACCCAGAAGTTAGTTCTAAGGATGTATTTTTAGAAGACATTTTACATGTTAAACTGGCCTCTTACCCAGCCAAGAATGCTATCCATTCAGAATGGTCAGTATAAAAGTCATTTATTTAAAATTATTATTTTTAAGCCTCCATCTAATACTGGGTTATGATTCTGACCTTTTCCCGGTCCCAATTTTAGGAACCCAAAGACATGTTGACTGTTTGAAGTGAACAAAATTATTATTTGTGCGTTTTGCAAACAAAATCATCTCCAGAATTTAGGCCAAAAAAGGGAGAGATAGGTCAATGTCTTTGCATGGAAGTGAACATCTTTCCTCCTTAACACCATTGCCCTCTGCAAGGTCTCTTAATCTTCTATGTATGACTTGCAAAGGAACTGCAAAACAAGGATTCATTTGGAATCAGCTCTGTGACACTGACATGGAAATAATAAAGGTTCCTCACAGTTGCTTTTGGTGTTCATTATACTTACCCCTACAGTATTGTAATCTAAATGATCAGTACAAAACAACATGGCATTCCTCTTCCAGAGTAGAATTAACTTAGAGAGACTAGGTGAACTCAACTAGACTTCTGTGTAGTGACTAACATTTGATTGGATTGTATTCACTGTCAGAATTGCAGCAAATATTAACAGATGAAGTATTAATACAATGAATGGCCATTCATTTGATTATTTTATGTCTTTCACATTTATTTGTAACATGTTCTTAATCAGGCAACTGGTTGAATATTAAAGCAGCTGAATTTAGGGTGAATCTACATTATTGTCATGAAAATATCATTGCAGATTTTATAAATGTGGATTTAATATGATGTGTGGGAACGAATGGAAAAATGGAAGGATGTATGGATGGAGCTAATAATTTTGGAGACACCAGTATAATATTAAGGCCTGCAGTGAGTAACTACCTGCTTGCTGGACTGTAATTAAAAGTTGCTAATAAGAGCTGAATAGCAAACTCTGATAAGTAGTGGGACAGTGATAACAAATGTTTACAATGTTAAGAAGGAAGTCAACATAAGATCAACACCAATCAAGAAGATCAACATCTGGCCAGGAAATTGAGATTGAGCCAGGATGGAAGATGACTATCATTAATTTACAACTTTGGGACTACATCAGCAGAATACTCCTATAAAAGACTCAGCCTAATAATGCTCAAAGTGAGGAGTCTTTTCCACCCGCTATGCTCTGCTCCATGGGAAGGAGAGAGATAGTGTACCTATGGAGAGTGACATATTTGCACAGGAGCAGTCTGGTCACTTTGGGCCTTCTTTCTCAAGGGAAGAGGAAGAAGTGCCCTTTTGGAGTCTTAGATTTTGTGCAGGGAGTCAAGTTCTGCTGTATGAAAAACAGAGATCTGGTCCTTGGCATTGTTCTTAGGGAAGAAGTTTTGGCATTTTGAAGTTATGGCATTATGGAAGTTTTGGAAATGTACATTGACAGGCTGCAGGAAAGCGGGGTCTGGCCTAACAGGTGCTTCTCCAAGGAGGGAGAAAATTATATGGTAATATTTGAATGCCTGAGGATGAATGTGTGTACATGTGGTGTGAATGTTGAGTAATTCCCCTTTGTTTGTTTGTTAGCCATTTAATTGTAAATCCAATGCAGTTGCATAGAATCTGTATGTCTGTATGTCCAATGCCATTCTTTGTCTAAATGTTTTTCTGTAATCTGATATCCCCTCTCACACTGGAAATTGCAATAAAAAGAACCTATGCTTTAAAGTCATTGAAAAGTCATTCATGACATAACGGAATTCTGTTTCAAATAGAAGACGTTATGGAATATTCAATATTATTGGGGAAATAAGAAAGTTTGCCATTGAAGATTTAGAAAGGGTCAAATAGCAAAAAACATAGAGAAAGGATAAGAGAATTGAACACTTTTGAGAATTTGAAAAGAAGACACACAGTACATTCAGCAAGAGTGTACCATTAAACTACACCAATAAAGACTAAAACTTGATTTCTTATCCTTTCTTTTTCCTTATTTAAAATAAAAGCTTTCCAACAGTGCTTGAAACAATGTATTGAAAAACTGTGAACAGATTTTTTTAAAAGCATTACATTTTGTAATCATGTCTACTGTTTTTTTTCTCTCAAAAAAACCAGCTCTAACCAATAAGTACGCTGGCAGGTTGTGATGCATTTTGATTGCTCTATCATGAAACATTCATAATGACAATTTGCTGAAGGGGCAAACTGTATTGCTTGAGGAGGAAGCATAGCAAACCAATGCAACCTGCAGATGTGTATCCTTCAAACAGCATATAATTATGCAGAGCACAGCTACAGACAACAGAAAAGACAGCAAAAGCAAGGCAACGTGTGTCACAGCTAACATGGCTTTCAAACTGTTAGAGCAGCAAAACCGCATGCTCTTTAATTCTTTTCTTTGTGCCACAGATATGAACCTATATAAAAGTTGAAAATGCTTTCTTCTGTGGAAGAAACAAAACATGTCAGGCAGCTATAGTCCATGTGATTATTCTTCCTTGATAGTTATATTTATTATATAACTATCCCCATCAAAGATGGAAAGAGCCATCCATCTGCAGTTTACATGGCTCTCGGATATAAAGGTGGCCACTGAGCAGATCTATCCTTACCTCCTCATGCATTCCAGGGCCTGTGTAAAGACCTGTGGGGCCATGCCATGTTCATGCTGCAATATTAGGCACTGCTCCAGAGTCACTGACATGGCAGTCCTGTCCTTGGCACTTTTACAGCTTGTAAACCGGACCCCATTGAGCCTGCGGCAAATCTAGAAGAGAATACAAGGCAATCTGTTTCATTTTATTGCAAAACAGTGGTTACAGTGGAGAATCCGCTCTGGACTTAAGTCTGAACTTTACTTTTTAAAGTCAATTTTTATTATATTCTAGTAACATATGCAAGACAACCATTCAACTACTAATAAACACTCCAATAAAAAGAAAAAAGTGAAAAAGACAAAGTATAAAAACACAAGAAAATGTAACCACTAATCCACCCCTTACCAGTAATACTAAGCAGATTAAAACTGGATTTCCCACATGTCAAACCAAAGACATCAATATAAAACAAAAATAAAGTTCTCATTATTATATAACAAAATTTATATGTATTCTCGAAGGCTTTCATGTCCGGAATCAATGGGTTGTTGTAGGTTTTCCGGGCTGTACGGCCATGCTCTAGAAGCATTCTCTCCTGACGTTTGTGGCAGGCATCCTCAGAGGTTGTGAGGTCTGTTGGAAACTAGGAAAATTGGGTTTATATATCTGTGGAAAGTCCAAGGTGGGAGAAAGAACTCTTGTCTGTTGGAGCTAGGTGTGAATGTCTCAACTGGTCACCCTGAATAGCATTTGATGGCTTGACAATTTTTAGGTGTGCCTAAACTTTTGCTTATAGATCAAGCAGTAACACTCAACCTTGACACTCTTCTTTCTTCTTGATAAAAATATAAAATTATTCCTGAGAACTGTTCAAAGACTTCTCCTTAATCAAAGGTATGTCCATGTCTCCCATTTCAATAATCTCTAAACTCATGTCTTCTTTTGTTAGTAAATCAGTATTCTTTCATTTGGGGGCTTGCAGCAGTCTCGCTGCCAAAATCATATAAGCATCAATGTAAATGTGAACTTTCTTTTAAACACTAAAGTACTGGACCCTGTCCACAAAACAAATCCTACACCTTGAGTAGTGCCCTGAACATTTGGATTAAAACCTGTAACAGATTTGCTATGCCAATGGCTGATGTACAGGAAGGGGCTGAATATGGCCACTCCAGAAATATTAAGAGAATGACTCTACAAACAATAGAAATGGGATGACAACAGAGTTGAGAAAGAAAGTAATCCTCAGTCTTCAATCAATTTACAAGTGAAATGAATTTATAAAGAAAATTAACTGGATGGACATATTCCAGTCAGGTTTTCCAAAAAGAGTAAAAGAACAGGAAGACCGAAATAGCATTTACTTGTATCTCCATGTTGCCCATGAATTATATCTCAGAAGTAGTGAGCTCAGTTCGATTGTTTCTCGACTCATACATTTCATTCTCACTGTATAATGCCTAAGGAGTACACAGGGAACAGGACCTTCCAACAGTCATTGCGATGCATTCTTCTAGAAGGATCTTCTTCTCAAGAAAAGTGGAGGATGTAAGACTTCAAACCCTCACACTCACCATCCTCCAAATAAGCAACTCTTTCTTGCCCTCCAACTTTCTTGGAAATCCTCCTTTTCTGGTCTCCCTCCACGATCAATGCCAAGAGCTACTGAGAGCAACAGTAATGGCAGTCCAGTTTCAACATCCTTACTTATTTCTCCAGGTTTTTCAAAGAGAGATCATAAAGAAAAGATAGGAACTGCCACACCATTCATGTGTATTCCTGACCTAGGAAAGGGAGCACAGTACTATGGCATCAGAAATACAGGAAGCTGCCAATTTCAGATTTTCTACTTGCCCACTCATATGAGACAGGTTTTGGAATTGAGAGAAACCACATGGCTGACCTATCTCGATTAAAATTGTGCTCAAAGGTCATAAATACCTCAGCAGCTTGCCAAAGAATGTCAACATTCTTATTTTTCCTTGCATGTACATTCTGTCCTAGAAATCGCAAAAGTTCAGGGAGGCACGTTTGACTACGGGATCGAGGTAGACCTAGGAAAACAAGAACAAATTATGTATGAGAACATGATGTAAAATTTAGAAATATCCGCATTCTCATTTTTTTTACCAGTAAATACATGTCTTTGAGTAATTATATCACACATTCATTCAAGTTTGAAAGTGTAATTGCATCTTATCAGTTACACAGAAATGTTTGCAATCAGCATGTTAAATTATAATGCTTCTATGTGCCTCACATGAAAGTTTTTTGTTTATTTCTTTGCACCAGACACTGCTTGAACATCCTTCTTGCAATCAGACGAAAATCTCAGTACACTTGAATTGAATCCCTCATGGTATGCAGACTTACAGTTCTTACAACTGTATTCAGTTTACATTCTGGATATTTGTTTGACACTTACAGTCTTCAGGTAAAACTTCTTTAAACTGCTCAAAGTAAGAATTGAGTCGCACTAAGCTTTCCATGTTAATCATTTCTTGCAATGAGGTGTCTCCAAATCTTAAAAAACAAAAACAAAAGAGGCATGTTAAGAAAGGAATATTTCACTGCAAAGGTCTCATGTCTTCCAAGCAGAGAAAACTTGGGGAACAGCTTCAAGCCTAACATTTTTTTTTCTTTCATGCTGCAAAAACTGATAGATTGTGGAGTTCTCCTTAAACATGCTGCAGGCAGCCTAATGATGTATTGCCCTTTCAAATACTCCCTTTTGTTGTGAGGTTGCATTTTGTGATGATTTATAGTAGGCTGAATCCACACTTGATGATGCTTACAGTGAACTACAGAGATCAATACTTTTAGCCTTGACTAATTTTACAGAATCACAGAGTTGGAAAATATAACAAGGGCCATCCAGTCCAACTCCTGCCATGCAGGAAGGCACAATCAAAGCACTACATTGTCGAAGGCTTTCATGGATGGAATCACTGGGTTGTTGTAGGTTTTTCAGGCTACATGGCCATGTTGTAGAAGCATTCTCTCCTGATGTTTCTCCTGCATGTATGGCAAGCATTCTCACAACCTCTGAGGATGGCTACCATAGATGCAGGTGAAACGTCAGGAGAGAATGCTTCTACAACATGGCCATATAGCCCAAAAAACCTACAACCCAATCAAAGAACTTCTAACCTCCTGAGAACAAGGCAAAGTTCAAGCTTGCCTAAAGGAGGCAGTTGTGAGACCTATATTAAAAAAGCCATTCCTGAACCCCTCTTTAATGGGCAACTATCAGCCAGTGTCCAACCTTCTATTTCTGAGAAAGGGAAGCATGCAGTGGCCTCCCAACTTCAGGGATTTGTGGATGAAACAGATCCATTTCAATCTGGTTTCAGGCCTGGCTATGGAACAGAGACAGCTTCGGTCGCCTTGGTGGATGACCTATGAAGACATCTAGACAGGGGGAGTGTATCCCTGTTAGTTCTCCTGGACCTCTCCTTTGACCATGGTATCCTTCTGGGTTATATTGCTGGGATGGGACTGGGAGGCACTGTCTAACAGTGACTCCAGTACTTCCTGGAGGGCCGTACCCAGAAGGTGATGCTGGTGGCCTCCTATTTGAACTCTTGGCTGTTGACCTATGAGGTTGCTCAGGATTCCATTTTGTCCCCCATGCTGTTTAACATACACGTGAAACTGCTGGGAGAGGTCATCTGCAGTTTTGGAGTACAGTGCCACCTATATGCAGATGGCACCAAACTCTACTACTCTTTTCCACCTAATGCCAAGGAAGCTGTCCTGACCTTAAACCAGGGCTTCTCATCAGTAATTGACTGGATGAGGGCAAACAAATTGAAACCTAATCCAGACAAGACAGGGGTACTCCTGGTCAGTCAGAAGCAGACCAGGGAATAGGGATCCAGCCTGTGCTGGATGGGGTCACACTCCCCTGAAGACACAGGTTTGCAGTTGGACTCAGCACTGAACCTGGAGGTGGTGGCCAGGAGGACCTCTGCACAATTAAAACTTGTGTGCCAACTGCACCCATTCCTTGAAAATCCAAATCTTGCCACAGTGGTACATGCTTTAGTTGCATCCCATCTGGATTACTGTAACACATGGGACTGCCTTTGAAGAGTGCTTGGAAACTTCAGCTGGTCCAAAGAGCTGCCGTCAGGTTGCTAACTGGGGCTGGCTACAGGGAGCAGAGAACACCCCCCTCCCCCAGCTGCAGTAGCTCCACTGGCTGCCAATTTGTTTCTGGTCACAATTCAAAGTGCTGGCAATGACCTATAAAGCCCTAGGAAAGTTCAGGTTCAGGCTATTTGGCCGACTGCATCCACTTGTACAAATCTGACCGGGTCCTGGGAACTTTAGGAGAGACCCTTCTCTCAGTCCCACTTCTATCTCAAACATGGTTGATTGGAACAAGGGAGCAGGCCTTCAAGCGCTTTTTCCTGTTCTAATGATGGTGGGGAGGCCAAATTGTTGGAGGAAGGAAAGGTGGCAGCACCTGAGCCCTCAAAGTGGCATCTCCAAAGGCAGCTGATGCTGCTCACTGTTTTCTCCCACCAATGGCAGAGGTGTGGGGGAGAAACGTTGCTGTTATGCCAGAGGCAGAAGAGGCATCAGCTTAGCAAGGGAGGAGGCTGTGCAGCGCTTTTTGCCTTTTGGATGCTTCCCCACCCCCCCTTTGTTTCTTCAGGGGCTGGAAGCCTGGGAGGGCTTAATATTTTTGCTGAGGGAGGTAGCAGGCTAGGTGACAAAGAGGCTATCCCAAGAGGTAAGTTTGTTTGTCCAGAAGTGGTTGGCTCAGACGTCTCATGTTTCCTGGATGGAGAAGGGGAAACCAGTGTTTTCCCTCGCACCTTGCGAGCTTGGGGGGTGGGGGTGGAAAGTGCCCCCCCAAACACAGGAGGTACATATCAAGCCTGTCTCCCTCCTGCACAAAGAAGAAATAGTTTATCTAACTTGAGTTAAGCATAAGACATCTCAAAAATTAGAATACATGAATATATATATGTGTGTGTACTTCTCTGCTAAGGTTTGTTGTTCGTTGATTCCCACATTGAAGAGAACAGGTTGAACTCGCAGCAACATGCCACTCTGAATCTCACGGGGCAGCGCATCAAACAAGGTGCTTGGCAATGGAATCCGCACATTAAACCCATCACTGGTTTAAAGCAGAAAAGGAGAAGGTTAAACAAAGAATACAGATCAGAAATCCTTTTTTTAAACTTTTAAGTTATTTTTTAAAACTATGATGTTAAAAATACAAGAATAGAAAACATCTTATTTAACAATTTGTTATTTCATTATTGCAGTATTTTGAGTGAAGAGAAAACAATGATGACAAAGGCAACATTTTCTCTCACAAAATAAAATTGCATTGTATGACGTTGCCAAAGCATTTTCTAATGGATGCCCACAAGGCAATGTGTTTGGCTTCTGTGTGCAAAGCATTTGTCCTCATAATAATAGTGAAGAAGGGCAGTTGTTCCCCACAATGTGTATATTATATTGTTCGTATTAACAAAATGTTTGATTAAACACTATTCTTCAAACATCAGCTTTTAGATGGGAGCATCTAAATAGAATCTAATATTCTAAGGAATAAAAGAACTTGAAATTTGGATCACTTTTCCAGCCTTTTCCCCTTCCTGGTTGTTGAGCATCTATTAAAACCAGCTTCAAAAAAAGTTATAACTGCCCAAATTCTTGCTTTTGAATATGTCATTCAAGTTCCATATTTCTCAGTGTTTGTTTTGTAATATATCTTTCCTTGTTCCTCTCCCTGATTCTTTTTACCGGTTTCCTGTGATGACTGGCAGCATATCAGCAGATGCATTCGACGTGGCCTGAGTTACTTTAAATGTCACGTTCCTCAAGTCCATTATTCCCAAACTCATATCCTCCAGCATTGCCAGCTCTTCACCTAAAAGGAGAAAACATGGATAGGATTGTGTAAAAAAAAAAAAAAAAGCATTCCTCTCTCTCAAAACTGGTGTCAAAAGAGCAATAACCCTACACACTGCTCATTGCATGTAGGATATTCTTGTGACCCTACCATCCTTGCCCTGATGCCACTTACCCCGTTGGAAAAAGAGCTTGGAAAAAGGCCTCCTCCTCAAACATTGCCTTCATGCATTGATTGCATAGTTGGCTCTCCACATTTGACAGTTTCACTTTTGCTGATTTGATTATTCACATACTTGATTAATATGGGATCTCAAGACAGCTCAGGGCTTAACTATGGCTGTGCAACCATTTTGCTTACATACCAAATAAAACTGTCCCAATTTAGACCAAATTGTATCCATCCTGGATTAGATTAGATAAGATGGTACAGTCTAATCCAGAAATGTGGAATACAAACATAAGTGAAAAAAATCCAGACACTGTGTCTCCAACATTAGGAAAGTACTAAGGTGATATGACATGGAACTAGATGTGGGGAGTTGGACTTTGTGTTTTACTGAAGCCCCTTTATTCACTGCCTCCTTGGATTGGTCAGGAGTAATGTTTGCTTTAGAACAGCTTATTGGGTTTCTTTTGGGTTTCTATCTTTTTCTGTCTTCTTAATCAAAGGAGATATAGCTGTCCCTCCAATTTCATAGGGTTTAAGGGCCTTCAAGTCAGCCTATTATGGTACAGGAACTTGTCTGACAGATTTTAAAGAAATTACATACAATATCATAGTTTTTGGACAGTGTTGAAAGTTTTTAACACTCCTCATCTCTATTTCATACAGTTCACAATGCCATTAGAGGAATTCACTCAAAAGTGTTCCCTGTAATTTGTTTCAAACTATAGCCAACATTGTTATTTTCAAAAAGTTGTGTAACCCTGAAAGACCCTTAAACATTATCTTCTCCTAAAATGACAGGAAGAAAGTCAAGCCACTACCTGAAAAGAACACATTTCCAAAAATTATCTTCATTACAGGGAAAGGTTTGTAAGCATGCCCAGGTGTTTATAAACTTTTAAAAAATGGAGTACTAGGGTAGCCATTTTGAAAATTCCTTGAGTTTAAAAATTGGGTTGTTAGAGGGAAGCTGCTCTTTGCAGAATGTCTAGATTTGGACAAAGTGCACCGACATAAAAACATATCCTTCTGCTTGTCTGTACACGATATCATATACTGTTAATTATGTGAAACCTAACTTCGCTTAATAGTTCATGTCTAAATTACTTTGAATACCTGAATAACAAGGAATGCACCCTACTAATAAAGGTAAAGGTTGTCCCCTGACATTAAGTCCAGTCATGTCTGACTCTGGGGTTTGGTGCTCATCTCCATTTCTAAGCTGAAGAGCCAGCGTTGCCCATAGACACCTCCAAGGTCATGTGGCCAGCATGACTGCATGGAGCGCCATTACCTTCCCGCCGGAGCGGTACCTATTGACCCTACTAATACACAGCAGTAATTCATTAAGTCATAAATGGTATTGTCTCATTCAACGTTTCTTTTTACCATAAGTGCTCAAAAGGCTTTCAAACTGTGCCAGCAGGCCAATGGTGTAAAGCTGCCTCAGGAATCCATTATCATGCAGGCAGTTCCTTAGCTTGATGATAAAGCCACAGATCAGGGCTGTAAGCTGCACAAGAGAAAACAGAGGTGATGCCATTGAGAACATTTGCCTTCTACAATCATCATGCCAGAAGGCAGGCTGCTTTCAGAGATAGAGTTCCTGGATCTACTGATCGCTGCTATTCTTTCATAAATTACATTTATTGGGGATACAGTTTATTATTATTATTACTGAGCTTCCCTTATCTGGATTCCTGAAATCCAAAATACTTCAAAATTGTTCAATGGGTGGATAAGGTAATGACATCTTTGCTTTTTGATGGTTCAGTCTACACAAACTTTGTTTCGTGCATAAAATTATTTAAAATATTTTCAAAATTACTTTCAGGCTATGTGAAAAGTGTATATAAATAAAAAACGAATTCCTTATTTTAGTGGTTCTCAACCTGCTTGTCTCCAGATGTTTTGGCCTTCAATTCCAGCTGGTAAACTAGCTGGGATTTCTGGGAGTTGTAAGCCAAAACACCTGGGGACCCACAGGTTGAGAACCACTGCCTTATTTAGACTGCCATCACCAAAATATCTTATTATGTACATATATGCAAATATGACTATTTCAAAATCATTAAAAATATTTTGGATATGGGATACTCAACCTATATTACAATTTTCCTGTGTGTTTGCACTGTAATATTCCCTTCACACTAGCAGATATGACACAGCTACTATGATGTTGAAGTTAAAACCCCACAATTGGCCATTTCACTCTCAGGAGAGCAATACTATTTTCTATTTATTTATATTCTTTAGCCTTGATGGTTTGTTACTGTGACTTCTACCACAGCCTCCAAATAAATATGGCCAACAACAAAGATAATGATTTCAGGTAAGCAAGAAAACAGCCTGGAAACCACACAACACTCCAAGCAAGAAAAAGTTTGTGGTAAAAATATTACTTGAAAAGGCAAAAAGGGCCAAGTGAGCTCTCCAAAGCAGGGAACTCAAAAGATGGAGTATCATCATTCAAAAGACCCTACACCAGACCAATTATCTACCTAATCCTCAAATTTAAAGTAGGAGCTCTGTGAAATGATCTCATGAGTGAGTGAGGCTTGTTAGTCCTAAGTCATAAAAGGTTCAAAAGTTTGCACCAGCACTTTATATTATGCTTGCAGGTGGACCAGAAGCCACCATCATTGTTTAAACACTAGTGAGGTGTGTTCTGTACATCAAGTGCCAAAAAATGTTTTTCAAGCATACTTCATGCCACTGAAGTTATCAAAGGCAGTCCCATATACATCAGCATTATAGCTATGATAGGTTTAATGTGTAACACTGGCTGTGAATCGATTCTGGGTCTTAGTCTGAACTTCAAAGGAGTTCTCCAAAGTGCTCATTTTATTTGGGCAACACTCTGGATTGTTCTTTAAAGGTCAGACTAAAACCTGGAGGGGATTTACCACCCTACTGATACAGACACCACAAGCTTCTACTACATTATAGTAATCCAAATGGGATGCTACTCTGGAGCTTGATTAAATGTAGCAATGACCTCTAAGTTCAGGAGAGTTTGCAGCTGGTGAAGTATATTTAACACTAGACATTCAAAAATGTGTTAATTTTTCACAGCAACACTCATATTCAAAGTCTAATTTGCACTTCCTTGCTTACAGTTTGGCAAAAGACAACATCCCTCCGGTACTGAAGGCTCAGGCAAAGAGCTATTGTCGGAGCGCTATCCTGCATCAAGAGGAAGACCATGGCTTTCTTTGCTTTGTCACTCATCATGGCCACACAGTCTGTGAGTGTTGTCAGCAGAGGGTAAAGAGCCTCGCTCCATTCACCTATAGTTTTGAAAAGAGATGGCAATTATAGTAAATGTTTATCCATTTGTTAAATGGTCAGCTTGAAATTTAAACTAAGGGTCCACACAGATTGAAGGTAGCATGCCTCTTTGGTTATAGTCATGTAACTAGAGGGCAATCAATCAACAGCCTGTATATTCCTTTTCTCTCACTTGTCAATGTTACTAATTGTGTGGCAATACAGTTATGTGGATGATATACATAGCTGATTTTAACAAAAGTTAATTTTCGAAGGCAATGAAATATTTTCTCTATCTGCAATGTAGAATGTGTGTTTTGCTTTAGAAGCTGCATGAAGTCAACTTTTTGAGTGCAACTGAACAACACAGAGAGAACACTTTGACGACAATTTAGTTACCATGTCTTAATCCTATGGAAATCTTGGGATTTTTTGTTTGGTGAACTCTAGTCCATTGCTCTAGTCCAACAAAGAGAATTTAACGTGTCTCAAACTACATCCTGTAGTGTGGATGCAGCCTTAAAAAAAGACCATGCACAAGTGGGATAAACTGCAACATTTCTACCTGGGAAACAAACCATTATGCATCATATAGAGGGACATGTAGGGCACCTGTAATTATTCATAGGGGAAAATGTCATATGAGGTCTTGCCTGGAACTAAAAATGATTTTGATAAATAATTTAGAGGAATAAGTATTCTCAGTTCCTTGAGAATCATCCAGACTTAGAGTATTCACGAAAAGTATTTTCCCCCCAAAGGATAAGATCAGGAATGTGGTATTTCAAATCTGTATCCCATCTTGTAGATAATCAAAATGAATTACATCGAGGAAAGTAATTTAGCCATGTTTCTCAGTAAGCAGTTAAGATTCCTTTAACAAGAGCAAGATTGTTCTTTATTCTCATTCTTTTCCAAAACAAACCAATAGCTCCAATGACACAGCTATCTGTACAACTAAAAATAAAGATTATGCTTTGATGCATTTGTCCCAAAGACCTTTTCATAGGCAAAACATCATTTTAAAAAGCCCAGAGAATGATTTTCAGACATTGCTATTTCAGGGAAACAGAAATTAAAAATGATGTATTTACATTAGCTCAAATAAAATGGACAGAAATCCAAATAATTTTAAGTATTCATGTTGCTAAAAAATTAAAAACTTTTTTAAAAAGTGCACACAAACACAAATCAAATTGTTCTGCTTTTAAAAAATGACAAATGAAAACAACGAAATGTTTTCCCATTCCCACTGAAATGTACTGACTGGCTTATATCTCACTGGAAACATAGACCAAATTTCTTCTAAAAAATGGTGCAAGCAGATGGGGATACAGGTTCATGTCCCCTCTGAATTACACAGTTTAGGGGGAACATGCTGCTTTTCAAAACTGTTTGGAAAGTTAAGGGACACAAAACAATCATTGCCAAACATTTCATACGCAGAAAAGGACCATAGAAATACTAATAACTATAGGCTGAACCCAACAATAATTATATCCAGGCAGCAATGATTTGGTAGCCCCCATATCAGTGAAATGGTGACTCTGTTCAAGGTTTTAGTACAAACTAGGATTGGCAATTTATGGAAATCCTTTACAGTTCAGATTAAAAATTGGAGCTGATTCACCACCTTGCTGACAAGTAGTCCGTAAGCTGCTACTGAGTTTACAACAAACATACTGAAAAGTATTGTACTTGTTAAAAAAAATTACATCCCACTCACTTAAACATGTATACTTTATGCAGGATCAATAATGAATTTCTCCCAATTAAAAATACTGTCAATGTATTACTATAGGAGGAAGTTTTGGGTGCCTGATTTACAGTCTGCTTGATGCAAATTAAATCAGGAATGTTCTACAGAGACATTAGAACTAATCTAATTACACTGTGGCTTCTAAAATACCCAGAGCACACCGAAAAATATTACTTCACACTGCTGCTTCCAGACTCTAGCACTACAATAATTTCGTGTTGCTAAGTTTTGTGCTGCAGCACAAATTCAGTGTTACCAGTATCCTGTAACCACCCAAGGAGGGGCAGCACTAGAAATAACCACACAGCAGCAGCTATGTATTACTGGTTTTCGATCCAGAACATTTATAAATGGGATTTTCTGTCACTTCACTGGTATGCATCAAAATTAACTGGCCAGGAAAATTGATTCTTTCAATACTTCCTCTTATTTTCCTCGTATTTAATAATAATACTTTATTTGTATTCTGGGACTCAGGGTAAAGGGACTTGGGGTGCATTCCAATCACAAAAAGGCAAGCCTTCAATGCCGAAATACAACTAATACAAACATAATAGCAAAAAATAACCAAACATATAAGAAAAATTGTAACTTAACATCTAAATTTAAATGAAACTTAACATATCAACTAAATTATATCTAACATAAAACAGAACATGCTCTTGGTCTTCCCAGCTACTAACGTAATGTACTTTTGCCAGTGGAGTAGAATACAACCTAGCATCAGCTGTGTTAAATGCAAAGAAAGCCTTTTTCATTAGATGGATTTAGGGGTTTTTTTTTTCCAGAACCAAACACCATGATGCAAAGAAATCCATATGGACATACCTGGGCCGGATTCTTCAGGAGTAGGGCTGGAATCTGCACAAAAATGCAGGTGTTAACATGCATGATTAAGGGGTAGCAACATGTTTTAAACATAAGCAACTGAAATGCTGAGCACAAAAGCGTTCTCAAACATTATTTTGGCAAAGGGATCCAACATAGACAGAAGTCCTATGGACCATCTCTCCAGCATAAAATAAGCTGCATCTACTTATTTGGAAGAGATGGGAGTAGTATGTGGCAGGGCAAGGACAGCTCCCAATGGTCCACCAGCCACAGGGGCCATGAGCCACGGAGTTTGAGAACTACCAGTTGAAAGATTTGCATTAAAAGCAGCTAAACAAGTGAACAAAACACCAACAGTTTTAGAGTGCATGAAGTAACCTTGGTGTACACACATGACTTTTTAAAGTGTACATCTGCAGGATTTTACATTTATTGCTTGAAAATGTAAAGTGTGACTACCATATATATGCAAACATACATATTTTCAGGAAAGTTTGTCAGGGAAAACACACTCTTTCAGTTACATGAAACAGAAAGAAAGGAAAATGTCCTGGAGTGAACCACTAACTAAAGAATCAAATGCACATAGATACATACAGTAAACTACTATTCTGAGTAAAACTAGATTTATTAAGTGACTAATAATGTAAGCAGTCCAAGTAATAAATATAAGAGTAGATCAAGTATACAACAATGGCTGTTAATGAGTGCATGAACCCAGATGGAGGTGTGGGTTCATGTGAGGTAACCATGTGATATAAATAGTCCAATTATTCACAAGCCAATAAATCCAAACAAGATGCATTAAATTGCATATTGAGGTATGTGCTATAAATAGTTGAAATTCAAATAACAAAATAACCCTAGGTTTTGATATAATTTTGAGTTTTTTTCGGAGTGAACAGAAAATTACAGATATCAGAACAAAAAATACTTCAGCTAGATGTGTAGAGTATCACTGAAGAAAGTTTCCATGAACTGATATCATTATCAGAAGAAATGCTCAAATGTGGTCAAGGTCCATGGTACAGTGAAATACTATGACCCTTGGCTGTCTTCCAATATTTCTCACAGGGAAGTAGCTACTAAATAAGTATGCTTTAATAATAGCAGATAATTGTGTTATCCCCATTTTCCCCAGTGATGGGATTATATGCTCCGTTGGGATAAAAGGCTATGTTGCTGGTGACAGTGCCGCATGTCAGATGGGCTTTTGCTGAGGACCAGACTGAATGTGTCAAATAATTACTGGGTAGCAGCAGAAATAGAGGATGACATTGGTAGAGGCCTCTAAGCAAAAATGGCAGTGGCAGCATAGTTATCACTTGTTAGCACTGCACAGAGGGAGGTACAGTAAATCTTCTTCAGAATACAGTTTATCACAAAACTACATGATGAAACAATAAAAAATAATGATGAAGACATTGAAGGTCCTAAAGTGCAAATGAATATCACTGATTGCTAACGTTAGGACTGTCCATGCCATCATATTTCTTATTTGTATGTGTGATTGTGGAAGCTGATAGGAAGAAAATCAACCCAGGTGCAATGTGGTGCTGGAGGGAAGTTCTATAGATATTGTGGCTCTCAAACCCCCCCCACCAGTCCCCCTGCCCCAAATCCCCTGAATCTAAACATGGTGTGATTTTTCAGATAATAGTAATCTGACAATCATACATAAAGTCAAGAAAATGCTAACAATATGCAAGATTCTGAACATAAAGATATATCGTTGAATACTAAAGTGAGGATGGTCCATGCCATCATATTTCCAATTACTAGGTATGGTTGTGAAATCCGGATAGTGGAGAAAGCTACAGGAAGAAAATAATCTCATGTGAAATGTGGTGTTGGAGAAGAGCTCTACAGATACCGTGGACAGCTAAAAACACAAATAAATGGATTCTAGAGCAAATCAGGCCTAAACTCTCCCTTGAAGCCAAATGACATGATTGATACTACTGTACTTTGGACATACATGAGAAGAACTCGCTCAATAGAAAGGAAAATTATATATTGGTAAAGTAGAAGGAAAAGAGGCCATGTTCCAGATGGGTAGAAATAAAAGAAGCCATGACCCTGAGTCTGCCAGGCCTGAACAAGGCTGCTGAGGATAGGCTGGCTTGGAGGTCTCCCATTCATTGGCTTTCCATAACTCAAAGTCAACCCGAAGGCAGTTTGGCTGTATTGGTTTCTATCACATTATCTTTGCGCTTCCTCTGGTTCATCTATTCCAGGAGTGGGAAAACTATTGCCGAAGACCACATGCAACTCCTGGGGCTTATTTTTGTAGCCTCCAAATGTGCTTCTAGTTATAAAAAAAAACATTGAGCTCCTAAATTTAAAACAATTGTGTGATTTTTATCTGAAAAATCATACCCAAAATACATACCAACACACAGAGAGCCCTCTCCAACCTATTCAGAACCCTCCATTCCCTCTCAAGCACCTTTTCCTTCTGTGTCACCAAAAAATGGTGTCAGAAAGTACCATAGTGTGACTTCTGGTCACTATTTTGGAAGCTAACTGGAAGTAAACATTTTGGCATGCTTTGGGGAGAGGGGTTCAACCTGCAGACGAATTAGGGTGGAAAACTAGTTTCTGAGCCACTATCATCTCCAATCTACCCATTCATAACTATTGCTATATATTTGAACTACTTATATATATCTTACATATTTGATTCTTGGACTTTTACACATTATCTACTACACAGACAACCTTGTTTTGCTTATTGCAGCAAAACTTTATCACTGTAGCAGGACACAACAGAACAAAAGTGGTACAGGTACAAAGGAAGAATGATTTCAGTCAAATTAGTATGGAATCATACACTGGTATTCTGTTGGTGCTTTTCACCAGGAATTAAACCTTTTCCAGGGTAGCACAGCAGCAGAGAGGGAAAACAGACAAAATTTGCCAAGTAGTATATTTCTACAACATAAGAGAAAATTGCCCCCATTCCATGGTTGAATTTTCCCCTTTTGCCTACTTTGAATGCCTTGTTAAATAAGTGACACACTTTACTGCTTGCAACCTAAAGGCCTTCATAATTTGTACTTTTAAATTAAATAATAAAAGTAAAGAATTGTTTTGTTTTAAATTCATATAGCATTCAGTATAACTCCAGGAAATTTAAGAATATCCTGTTTTCAGCAACCTTTCACATGAAGACATTATAGCATCTTCACATGCTTATGAAAACCTACTGAAGTATTTGATTCGAAAACATATTTCACTCTGTACATGCTAAAATCAAAGTAACCAATCATGTTTTCAGCTGAATACAACAGGAGGCATTGAAATATGTAGATGCATAATTTCAATGGTTCTCAGCCAATAAGCTTTGGGAGACATTTGATGAATTTACAGATAATGTCTGCCACATTAAAAACAACACAATGCTATACAATGGTTGCTGGATAGCTTGGTTAAATCCATTTCTTAATCACCCATCTGATGTGAGAGATTGTAGCACTCCTTAGCAACCACTTTGATTCATCTGCTTTAGTCAACCAATTTTTGCCCACATTCTCCCACACTTTCCTCATGAAAGATCATTGTTTAAAGTTCAGTTTTGGATCTGCAAACAGCAAAGGCATCATTAGTCTTCATGTCATGCAAACCACTTCATAATACATCATTCTTACAGGTAAAACTTGACAATATAAATAACTCAAGAGATAAGGGGAAACCAGCCAAACATATACAGTAGTAGACCTCACAAATTAAAAGACCTACTTTTATATTTAATTATTGGAATGTCACAACTCTTTACTTTTTATATTGCTCTATAACTATATTTACCATGAAATATCAGTGAATCACAAGCATACACAACAGTAAGGAAGTGTGATTAAGAAACATTATGAGAAAGGATGTTTCTATCAACTTCTGAATTAATGTTGCTTTTTTGATATCTTTTGAAATATGAAGTAAGCACATGGAATGCACTGGTTTTTCACTTTTGTGCTGAAACACTATTTTAACACACCCCTTTATGAAACATGATCCTGTTTTCTTAGGGCAACTATAACCATTAAATTAATTCTGATGTTACACCTGTTCTCCTGTGACAAACATGTAACATTTGGGCATGACACACAAGTGAACATGTATCTTTAACAGTCAGTGTACATTTATCTAGAGAATAATACTTTTTTCAGGCACAGGTTTTAAAAAAATGTTGATATACATGTAACATCTACAGCCAGCAGAATCCATGAATATGCCCTACGACTCAACTTCCCAAACTATCCTTCCTTTTAGCAAACTGAGAACACTGGAATGAAGATCATATGCCCCTCCTCAGTCTGCCACGAATTCTGCTCAATGAAAAAATAATCATACTCCTGTTTACTCGAACATAAGAGCCTGGTCACATCTGATTTCCAGCCAAGTTGTTTCCCCATTTAACTGCTCACTGTGGTTGAAGCAGTTAAGGAATCCATAGATTGCTTTCTGTGAGTACAGATATTATCTATCAAATTACACCCTCAATAAGGTCGCCTAAGATGGCAGTTTATCAACACTCAAACCACTAAGTCAAACTAGGTCTCTACTTACATGCAAATACAGGTACATGACCTCCAAAGCAAGCTCTACTGTCAATGATATGAACCAGATGCAGATCCCATCAACTGTAGAACCACAAGTGCAGAAATAGCACATTTGAACCTCTGCATTATACTGCAGCATAGAAAGTAAAAATCAGGAGGCTCCTGATACAAATTTCAGTTTAGCTGTGTACTTCTTGTATAGCCAAACACAGCTCCAACTCCTTTACCCAGAGGGATAATATACAGCACACCTTTTAAGTTTGTTTTAAAGATTTTTTTAATGCAAATTACTTTGAGCTCTTTAGAAAGTGTCATATGAAATTTAGAAACAAACCCAAAATTATTTGTATCCAGTTCTTAAATGGTTTTAAAGACAGCCAGGTTAATTAGCACAACTCTGCAAGGGAAGGCGGGCATCATCTTGAGGAATCTTGACATAGCTTTCACTGCTTAAATCCATAGCACCCAAACCTGAAGGGCAGAGCTGAAACTCTACAACAATATGCAACACAGAATTTAGGAGTCTTCTGCTTCTCCTCATACTGTCATTTCCTTATCTTCTAAGTTGATTTCAAGAGTGACTGATATGTCTTTAAACTATATGCTCCAATATGCCCCAAGCATGTATTTTAAAATAAAGTCAACTTGAATGGACTCCATCTGTCTGGTAGTTCTGCCTGCCTACATCTCCAAAATGCACTGGGCGGATTGGTCCAGTGGGTCCTAAAATGGCTCCCATTGTTCTGCTTCAACATGTGAAAAGCCCTTGTCATAGTGCTTAAGAAAATCCACACAAAGCATGATAGACAAAAAGCTGAGAGATATGTCAAAGCAGAGCAAAACAAATATGAAGAAGCCATGGCTGTTATCATACGCACTTGTGATTCTGGGACAATGGCATGCAGAGGATGATATGGATGGAGATGATGATGGAGATGATGATGGAGATGATTGGGGTGATGAAGGTGTTGAGGTTGAATTTAAGGCGTTTGGCTTTATCCAGTATGCACGGGTATCCCGTTTACCTTTCTTGCTAGAACAGCTGACGTCACATTGGAAAACATCTTCACAGCTATCACTCTGTAATCGCTCTTTCTGAAGAAGCTTGTCCACCCTCTGGATAATGCATTCTAGACTTTTGTCAACATTGATCCAGACTTTTTCCTGGAAACAAAAAAGAACAACAACAAAGGAACATATGACTGAATGCTTTTATGGCTAAATAAGTAAGACACAGAACAAAAACGACTTCTTATGTCATTTCACTTCTTTTTTAATTCCACTAAGGGAGAGTCAAAACAGCCCAAGAATTTGAATGAGCAAAACAATCATTGTAGCAGACCCTGTCAAAGCTATGGCTTGTCTATCTTTCAAAGTATGGCTTTCCATCATTATCAGTGTTATTATGTGATGGAATATTTTATAGGCATATCCTGAAAGACGACTGTGACATGTTTTCCTAATATTTCACTGGAAAGAAACTGCTGCTCATATATTCTAGCCCTTTGAACCATCTCAGCAAATAAATACATATTTTAGTTGGATAAAAGCTTTCCACATAGAAGTTGGAAAAGTCATTTAAAACATTTAGCTCCAGTTTTATAGGCAGCTCACACACACACACATATTTTCAAAGTATAGTTAAGATAACTGAAGCAATATACTATTTAATGTCAGCATAAAACTTTCTCGATTTGTTTATTCTTTGGTAAATCTAAACAAGGAATAGTCTTCAGAAGATTGTTTTCCATTGTTCATGAGGAAATAATCAGTAAACATTATCAAGCTGACTGGTCCTTCATCAATAAATGCTTCTGCTACTATCCCATTTTTCCCCATAGAAAGTGCTTGTGGGGAATGAAGAGAGAAGTACTATTGCCATATTCTTCTTTAATAATTGCTTTAAACAGATTGCCTCAAAACATCTTCTAGGCCAGAGTCTCTCAAACTGTGCTCCTCCAGATGTTTTGGACTTATGCCTCCACAATTCCCAACAGCTGGTAAGCTGGCTGGAATTTCTGGAATCTGAAGTCCAAAACACCCAGAGGAGCAGAGTTTGAGAAACACAGTTCTAGGATATCACCTGGCCTTAAGGAAAACTGTATTTCAAAGTTAGAGATGCAACAATATAAGGATTGACCATTAAGTCAACAAACCTACCCATTCTTCTTCATGCCAGTCTACCTGCAAAGAAGAGCGACTATTTCTGCCTGTCCATCTGGCCACCAGAGTGTCTTGATCATTCCTTAGCACCACTTGTTCTTCCTCTGTAGAGGTTGGAGATGCCTTTGATGCTATATAATCTGGTCTTGCAGCATTCAGTGCATGTATTGAATTTGCTAGCAGCTTACAGTCACAGACGGTGACAAGCTGCCTTGTCTGAAAAGGGATAAAGATGACAGACAGTATTTAATAAACACATTATTTTCCAATAATTTCTATATTTATTATTTTATCTCGGTTCCCATTGATTTTGTCTCAAGATAATGTTAAGCCATACTGCCTAACAGTGGTAGCAGGTGCTGAACATATTCAGGAATAGGGTGCCTATTTATATGGAAGCCACCAGCTGCCACTGCTCCCTGGATGTCACAGGTGGCACAAATGCATAGATCATATAATGGTAGAGAAGTGCCTTCCACAAAATTTGTGGCTGCTATGAAATTTAAGACTTTCATAATGAAGGTTTTAACTGGCACAATTTAACAGGAATAATCCTGGCAGCCAATCCAATCATCAATAAAAATGACTTGATTCTCCTATAAGCTGCCAAACCCAAAACTTGGTAGAAAAGGAAGAGTTGCAGAATCTCAATGAAATCACAATGACTTCCATTTCTCATTATTCCTAGCTACATCATTCATAAGATTTAGGACAAATTACAGTGTATAGTACAGTATAACAACCTAATACATTTAGATTAAATTATGTGGCAAAAACACAAATATATTTTAAAACTGAAGATCCAAATTAGCCTAAGTAAATATTTTTCACAAAACTTCCAGGAAATGAGCTTTGGCATACATATATGAAAATGAAGATGAACAAGATCATGTCAATGATCAATAATGCTTCATTTTAGCCCAAGTGTAATGTTCATACTGGACACGTAAGAGGAGTTCTCAGTGAATGAGAAAGGGATCATAATGGGACAGAAAAATGTAACCTCCATACCTTATCAGCCAAAATGGCAAGAGTTCTTTCAAGTCCATTGGCTGATTTGTCCTTGGCAGCTCTGGAGAGTCTTTCTGCATAGTAACTCACTTGAGTTTTCAGGGTATTGATTTGTGCAATAATCTCCTTTGCTCGTACAATGTCCTGTGGTATGTATATTATTGACTGTGTTGTGGTTGCAGTGCTGGGGGTGGCAAAAAGAATAGGTTTTAAACAGATCTAGGCACTGCAGTTGCTTCTTCTTCCATGATAAAATATAAAAGAAGAAAATGCAGGCAACATTTTCTTCAAATTAATTATCAGTTCCAAAGGAAATGCAGAATACAACAAGGCCAAATGTGCAGACTACAACCACAGTGCTACTCCACAGTGAGTATAAGTATCTGGATGAATACATACGAATTGCACATGCCATGTGATTATTCAGAAACCACACACAAGGGTGAGAAATGCACAAGAAGAGGGTGTAGCAATCACTGAATGACAGCAAAATTATAAGGCAGAGACTTCTAATGTCTAGTCCTTTCCCTTAAGCATACTTTATTCATTCTAAATTAATGTTTGGCATTTCATCTGGCCAAACAGCCAATAGGCCAGATATGGACAATCTCTGTCTAAGGACACAGGAGGTCTAATCTCATGTAGGCCAAAGCTAACTTCAAAACCTCAATGTCTCCGGTCACTAGATTGGAGGGGGATTGGATATGAGGGTAGTAGAAATTGGAAGAGAAAAGGGGCTCGTTGGCCTATTTTTAGCTCTGGCTTTGGTTTCAACCTGCTTTAGTGACTGCTGACTCCTGAAAAACTAACCTCAAGGCAATGTGGCCTCAAAAAATGGCTGCTCATTTTTGTTTGAGCTAGTTGCATTACTACCATTATGTATTCACAACTAACTAAATATCATACAAGTCTTTGCCCCTAAAAACTCAAGCTTTATTTGGCTGCAATTTCAATATTACTTCCCAGACTGAAGACTAAAATAAGGTTTGAGGAACTGCTGGTCAGCCAAGGCAAGCACACCCACCATTCATGCTCTGCATGGATTGCCCCACTACTTGATCCTTCTATTGCTTTTATGGTCCCAACTGATGGTGAAAGCAAGGGCTCATTTACGCCACATAATGAAAGGGCTATGATTCTACTTTAAGTGCAACATTCAACAGCATCATGGGGTTTAGAGTTAAGGGAGAGATACTGGAAATTCTCAGACACAGAGCACTAATACCTAGCCAGACCACAAGTCCCTGGATTCCATAGGATACATTCATGGTAATTAAAAAGCAGAATCATAGTACTATCATTATGCAGTGAGAAAGAGTCACAGCACAGTCTACCATATGTTGCTTCTGGAAATCTTTTGGTTTAATGCAACAAAAATGAAGCTTGGCCTAAGGGCATGACAGCTTATGTCACTTCATTTCTAAGAAATAACAGAAAATGTGAATTAGCAATGTGAATAAGTTTGCTTTTCCCACTTCTTCCTGGTTCTTTGAAATATTTTTATGGCAGAACAATGTCATCAAAGGAAAATTGTTCTTCTGGGCCAACTGCCAGCATTTTGATGTTTTAACTAATGCTTAAATGTGATTTGATTACTATTGTTGTTGGCATCTAATGGTTGCCGGTTGTGAGCCGCCTCAAGTCCCCCTCCGTGGTGAGAAGGACAGGATATAAATGTCTGAAATAATAATAATAATAATAATAATAATAATAATAATAATAATGAGGGTATCTTTATTGTCATAATGTTAAAAGGGGACTTTGTTAACACATAACATCCTGTTGAATGAACTCAGGTGGATGCATGATCCTAATGTATGTATTTTTTTTCCAATACAAGAAACCTTCCACATCCATTATCTAAGATTCATTAAGAGCCATGTTAGATTATAAAGAACAGCTTCCAGTTCAGACTGGGGCATCTCATGTTCAGGAGCACCACTCTGGATATCTGGCTCTTGTCACACAAATCCTCCAATAACAGCGGAAGACCTTAAAAAACCTAACTTCTAAATCCTGAAACAACTGTTTGGGGAAATATATGGACTAGAACTCAGGGATGTCCAACTGAAAGAAATCCTTCAGCTGATGGTATGTTTCCATGCTGCTGCTCTCACAGTAGAAGAAAACGAACGAAGGGCTTGGTGGATGTCATTGAAATTTGGTTGTACCAAGATTAGCTTCAGTTCTAAAATGTGGCTCTGCACAAATGCAAGACTCAGCAGGTGAGTCAGGGAGATAATGAAAAAGAACTACATTTATAAAGAATCAGGACATGGGGTATAACAAAATAATGGATTGTTAAGAATCTAGCAAGTAACTTGGCACTGATAAAAGGAATTAGAAGACTTTGTTGGATTTTCCATTAAGAATGCAATCATAAGACAACTCTCATCATATTTGGGTGCTTTACATTCTCCTCATTATCTCTTTCCAAGACATTTATCTGTTTTTGATTTTGACAAGAGACATCACTTATAAACAGTTACATCAAAATAGCTGGATTTGTAAATGATCTTTCTTTTTGGTGAGACCATGCAGAAGTAGAATACAATTTGCAGCAAAGCACATGCAGCACATGCTCTGGTGAGGCTCTAATTAAAAAGCAAGGAAGCAACTTTATTCTCAGGAAAAAAGGAAATAAATCGCTTGTAGACAGGGAATTCACTAAGTCTCTTTGTGCAATCATTCTCCCAAATGAACAGCTATCATCCTTCACTGATAACGGGAACTATAACAATAATGTTCAAAAAACTTCAGATAATCTGAAAGCTTTATTCACTTTTATGTATTTGCAGAAAGCTCAATAGTATTTTCAAGGGAGGAAATGAACATCTTTTAAAGGTTAAATTTGTGAGGAGTGTTTTAATACAGGCATGGACAGTGATTAACTGGAATTCATTGGAATCTGTATGTTTTGCAGTCCCCATAAAGGAAAATCTCCATAAAGGAAAACACAGGTAATACTGTTTCATCATTTCACTAGTCTGCAAAACAAGCCTTCCACTTCTACAGATCTACGAAAGTAATCCTACGCATTCAACCCATTAAACCCACGAGCATTTAGTCTAATCTTGAGCTGATGCAGACTCATACATCCAGACTGAAGTCCAGTTCTAGATCAAATCTCGGTCTATATATAACTATTGCACAACTAGACTTCCACATTTTTGAACAGTAGAAACAGATCTCCATACACCTTTTCTTTATAAACATTCATCCACTTTCTACACTGAAAATAATGGGCATGGACTTACATGTGTGTATTCAAACAGCTATGACTAGACTCTTCCACTCACCCACGATTTAATATGAAATATGGATTACAGAGCCTGAACTCATTTTATCACTAGGAATTGGCATTCTAAACCATGCAATGTATTTGGGGACAAGTACTGAATGCTTCTGTTCACATCACTGATGCAATAGTTCCTATAAGAGTAAAGGATTTCAGGCTTGACTATTGTCACTTTAAGTCACAGTACCCCATGTTATACAAACTAAGTCACAATGCACCTTATCACTTTCCTACCACAATCCAATGTGACACCTTATAATTGAGATGGTAATTAAAACTATGTAGAAATATATTATACTGTTAACATCCATAAAAAAACATAAGGCCCTAGTCAGTGTACTACACGGCGCTGACTCTTGGTTTGTTAGAGTCAGTGCCGTGTAGTACTTGGGTGATGGACTAAACCAGGAGAACAAGGTTTAAATATTTGTTTGGCTGTGGAAACCCAAAGGATGACTTTGGGACAGTCACTCACTTTCAATTTCTGAGGAAGGCAAACGCAGCTCCCTCTGAACAAATTGTGCCATGACAATCCCATGAAAATTTGCCTTTGTATCACCCTAGGTTGGAAGTGACTTGAAGGCACTCAACAAGAAAAAGCAGTTACCCAATCAATTTGAAGCATTCCAGTTAAACTGTCTCCTAATATTCTAAAATCCCAATTTTAGTTATCAGTCTTAGCTGTTCACTGGTAAAACAAACAATTCAAGTGTAAAGGACAATAGCCCTATATACTTTAATAAGCAGCCATATTCATTGAATGACACAAAATCAAAACAAGCCGACATGCAAAGCATTAAGAAAGGAAATAAAATCAAACAACCACCATACAGCAATAGATCAAATTTTCTTTACATTGATTAGAGCTTTGTGCTCAGACGCAGAAACATAAAACTCACCAACATTCCTCATAACTGCTATAAAAAGAAGAAAACCAAAAGGAACATTAGCCATTATTTGTTAGCAAATACAAAAACAGAAAACAAAGCAAAGCAATATTAGATAAATATGTTAATTGTTTTAATAGTTTTCAGTAAAGCGTTGTTCATGTTGTTGAACTTGTAAGCAAAACAATATTGCAGTTAATGCAAAAAGGTAGATGAGTTGTGGCCTACAGATTTATATTGTAAGAGTACCTTACCACAAGGGGTAAGGTACTCTTACCATATAATGTATGAATAGTTCATCAATTTGAAAGTACAATTACAAAATCTATAGCTGGTATCAATAGAACTACATAGTTCATTCTTATGCACCAGTAAGGGGATGGACTGCTTTGGAATACACCTGGCCCTTCACATTTGCAGATATCATGTTTATGGATTTGATTAATATGTTCTCTCAAGGCATCCCAATGTCCTCCAGGACAATTCTGATGGAAGCTAACTGTAGCATTGTGATGGAAGAACTAGAGATTCCCAAAGAGAAAATTTCTCCAGATCTTCCACAATGGTTCTAACTGACCTATTAGAGGACCCAGAAATTACTAGAGAGGTGTTTTGACAGTTACACTTTGGGGGGGGGGGTATTCATAATTTTCCCACTTTCATGGGGATCCTGTGCTCCTAACCGCAATGAATATAGGATGATTGTACTTGACATAACTCTTCCAAGCTGCTTTTGAAATGGGAGAAGGAAGCTCTCAAAAGCAGACTCTGATATGCACAGTCATATTAAGAAATGCTGAAACCTTAAAACTCATTGCATTATTGTGACAAGAACTCCAAATACTTGGTATACTTTATCCTGGAGGTTATGACCCACCTTATCCCTTCCTGAGAATCCACTGCCAGCTTGTCTGAAAATGATTGCAAATACAGGAGTGTGTGTATCCCTTTGTCTCTATAAGGTATATAACTATAACCTGCCAGGTCCCCTTACAGAACAGACTCAGGCAGTAGTTCAATAAAAAAAAGGAAACCAAGTTATTAATATAATAATATAATAACAACAACTTTATTTCTCTCCAAAGGGACTCGGGGCAGCTTACAATGGGACAAGCCCAAAAAATACAGATGAAAACAAACATAATAAAATAAAATCAGCAACAACACATCAGGAAAAAAAACGTATAGCAGTCACAGACAAACATTTTAAAACAATATCATGGCTGAGCAATTAGGTGCTGGATACGGAGGGCTCAGGGTATGTGCAATGGTTCCTAAATTGAGCCGATGGAAAGTGCAAGATTCAATTCAAATTCAATAATGATTCTCTAAACATAGAAGGTCGTCAGGCTGGTTCTCTTTCCCAATTCAATTAGTTGCATTTCTATCCTTTTATATCCTTCCTCTCAATTTACACTGCATTTTTTTCTTTTGGCTCTCTTTTCTCACCTGACTAAAACTTTGTCTCTTCTTGACCAGACACATCCCTACTAACTTCAACTAACAAATATTGGGTTTTTCCTGCTCTTCTCCTTGCATCCCAGGCCCCTTTCCAACAATCCTTTGAGTTGCATTGACCGAACCCAGAAGAGAACAGTATTCAAGTTTGTCCATCACAATCCCTAACAAATGTACAGTGGGCCCTTTGTATCCATGGGAGTTTGGTTCTAGGACTCTTCACAGATACCAACATCTGTGGATGCCAAAGTCCTATTATATACAATAGCATTAAAAAAAGGTTTTCCTCTGACATCAACTCTTGGGGGTGGTGCTCATCTCCATTTCTAAGCTGAAGAGGCGGCGTTGTCTGTAGACACCTTCAAGGTTACGTGAATGGCATGACTACATGGAGCGCCGCTACCTTCCTGCAGAAGCGGTACCTATTGATCTACTCACATTTGCATATTTTTGAACTGCTAGGTTGGCAGAAGCTGGGCCTAACAGCTCACCCTGCTCCCTGGATTCAAACCACCAACGTTTCGGTCAGCAAGTTCAGCAGCTCAGTGTTTTAACCTGCTGCGCCACCAGGAGGCCCAAAGCAATAGCATAGAAGTGCAGAATACAGGAACATGGAATGCTGACTGTACATCACTTCAAGAAATGTGTAAAATCTGAAATTTGGATTGATTTATTAGAGACCCCACATAGCCTGAAGCCTCAGACTCTACTTTATTTAGTTTATATATAAATCTAGGTCTGCTGATACATTCTACTGTCTAATGATGGAGATTTTAAAAAAGGTGGACATGCCCAAGCCTTTGAATACACTTAAATTACTCTTTGAATTCTGACCTACATAGGGTTACACAATGATGTCTATCCAGATAATCTTTGCTGTAAGCAAGCAGGCGGGAAGGGTTGCTGGTTAGACACAGGAGAGGAAACTGTCTGAAGAAGCAAACTGAGTCAGTTATTTAACTTTCCTTCCACTCTCTGTCATATGATACGGATCCAAGTATATTAAAACATCAACAATTATGCCTATCATTGCATCAACTATGATGTTACAGAACTCCTTCCAATCCGAAAATAGTTAATGTTTCCTTAAATAAAGCTCTCTGCACAGTACTATGGAGAAGAAAAAAATCTCTAATTTTATAGCCTAACAATGAATAGGTAATAGTAGGAATATGAGGAAAGGTCAATTGATGTTTATTATCAGCAACCACGTCTTGATTTGGGAAAGAACTGATTGATTTTTCTATGGAACTACAATAAAAATGAAAAGGCCAAGAATACAAGCTCTCACTACAGCAATAATATTTTCAGTCATTCTGATTCCCAGCCCGCATCAAACTATGCTCCAATAATTCACTATAACATGGATATCTGCTCACCCTGGCTTTAGGCAACATCTTTCCCTCTGCCCTTGTCCAGCAACAGCCATAGGTAAAGCTAAACCTGTCACCCTATCACTACAGGTTTTGCACTTCTATGGTTATTCGCACATAGTTTTCACATAAGGATCTGTTCCTAGGTATTTTAACTCCATGCATCTGAGGAAGTAAACTTAAGACTAGGAAAGCTTCGGCTACCAATAACTTTCTCTCAGTTCATCTAAAAGGTACTACAAAATCCCTTTGCATTCTCACTAATAGTTAGTTTCAGATTTACGAGAAATACATACCCACTCCCCCCCCTCAAAAAAATTGACCATGTTTTTGGTTCAGAAGCAAATAGGCATTCCATAATTTATTATGTGTCTGAATTTAGCTTATTAAAAATTAAGAGATCATTTTTACGAATTTCCTAGAAAACCTCCAAATATGTTATCTAAATATATCATGGAGGGAAATGAAAAAAGAAAAGAGAAATATCAAATACCGTGAGTAAATTAAGTCAGGTGAATGGACATAACTGTTGTCACTAGAAATGTATGTTGTCTTTATCTGCAACTGATTGCACCCAGGTTTCAGAAATGTAGGAAATAAAGCATCCTCTGCAAGCCAACTAAGGGAGATTCTCCAACTGCTCTTTTCCCCTTCACATTATGACAGCATTTAGTTGCTGGAGCCGGTAATAATTGCAAAGGGAACAGGAATGTAGGCATGCAAGTAGCCCAGTATTTCAAGATTTAGTGCCTCAAATCAGAAGCCCAAAGCAACTGCAACCAACTTAGGTACCATTAAAAATATTCCATGTAGTGTCCTAATCTTCTGCACAGAAAAGCATCATATTAATAGACTAAGAAAGTAACTTTTTGGATTATAAAGTTACTGTTTGGTTAGGTTTTCAAAGTGTGCATTTGGAGCCTTTGTGGTGCTGCGAAGCATACTAAGGGGGCTCTGCAGTTCCCTCCTCCCCCTCCAAGATTTCCTTCCTTTTTCCTGCTCCTCTCCCTCCTCCCTCCTCCCTTGCCCCGAAAAGCCTTTTTTCCTCACCTTCGCCGCCCAGATCCTTTCCACATTGCCTTCCTTGCTTCCAAAACCCAATTTCCCTCCCACTGCACAATGGGTGCTTTGACTGTGCTTTTCCTGCATGGCAGAAAGGGGTTGCTCTTATTATTATTGCTATTGCTATTACTATTACTACTACTACTACTACTACTACTACTACTACTACTACAAAGACTGGTGGGGTGCTTTGATTGTGCTTTTCCTGCATAGCAGAAGGAGGTTGGACTGGGTGGCCTCTGGAGTTGCTCCTATGATGATGATTATTATTATTGCAAAGGCTGGATCTGGGGTCTTCCACTGGAATACTGTTAAGTTATGTTGGTTAAAACTGTTCTTTTTAAATATTGTAGTGTTCTTTCTTTCTTTCCTTTTTTGTGCACTACAAACAAGATATGTGCATTGTGCATAGGCATTTGTTCATGCTTTTTTTCGATTAGTTCACACAAACACTCTCCATCCATCTGCCGTTTGCCCGGCACATCTGTCAAATTATACATATGTATATATAAATTATGCATAATATATAATGTAATAAATAAACATTTCTTGGGGCTCCACTAGAAGTTTTTGCTTCAAAAAAGGCTTCGTGGCTGAAAATGTTTGAGAGCCCCTGGGTTAGGGGATTTCTGTGAGTTGTTTTTCAATGTGCAGCTAATACTTAAGTTTTCATTAAAACACACATATACTGAATACATGTCAAGTATTAATTAAATGTGAAAATATGCTAAATTATAAATTGAATAGTAACTATTAAACACAACCACCACAAAAAACCCATATTTTATGTCCTATTATTTGCATAAAACACACTTAAGCTTCATAGTTTTAGGGTGAGGCTTGCTATGAATACAGGCAGCAACTAAAAGAGCAGCATGCTTTTTATAAATCTATAGTTGTCACTTGAGCATAATAATCCTTACAACTTACTGTTTCTTTGCATCTTCAAATTTATGCAGCTTTTTCCGAAGACCGCCAGATTTAAAGCCTTGACAATGAGCTGCTGGGGCTCCTATGGTTACGATGTCATAGTTTTGATCTAAATGGGAAAAAATGGAGAGGGAAATGGTTTAAAAAGGTGGCTCATAATCATGATTTGGAATGCAACTCTTAGAACATTCAAGCTGTAAAAATGTACTATCTTACATTTCTTACTACTCTTATAAAGGGTCTCTAACGCTTCTGCTGTACTAATAAATGACACTGTGTATGCCAAGTCTCATTTGGCTCCTGGTTCTCTTAAACATACTTCCAAAAAGCCAGACCATAGAGCTAGCCTTAAGTGGCTGTGAAATTTATGATGATCTAAGCCCAATTGAAAGCTGCAGTCAAGATCTGCAGAAAGATGTTATTAAAGGCAATGAAGAGAGCAATTTTTTATTGTTCATTCTCAAAGATGACTGTCAAAATGGGCAAGAAACACTAAAACTGCAGAAAGCCAATGTGGACTATGACTCTGGAGATGAGGGTTCAATTCCCACTTGGCCATAGAAACCCATGGTTTCCATACTCTCTCAATCTCAGAAATACCCATGATAGAGTCGTTTTAGGACAAGCTGGATAGATACAGGGAATGCCATGGATGTCGCGTACCTGGATTTCAGTAAGGCCTTCAACAAGGTCCCCCATGACCTTCTGGCAAGGAAACTAGTCCAATGTGGGCTAGGCAAAACTACGGTGAGGTGGATCTGTAATTGGTTAAATGGACGAAACCCAGAGGGTGCTCACTAATGCTTCCTCTTCATCTTGGAAAGAAGTGACGAGCGGAGTGCCGCAGGGTTCTGTCCTGGGCCCGGTCCTGTTCAACATCTTTATTAATGACTTAGATGAAGGGCTAGAAGGCATGATCATCAAGTTTGCAGACGACACCAAATTGGGAGGGATAGCCAATACTCCAGGAGCAGAATTCAAAACGATCTGAACAGATTAGAGAGATGGGCCAAAACCTAACAAAATGAAGTTCAACAGTGACAAATGCAAGATACTCCACTTAGGCAGAAAAAAAATGCAAAGATACAGAATGGGACGCCTGGCTCGAGAGCAGTACGTGTGAAAAAGATCTTGGAGTCCTCGTGGACAACAAGTTAAACATGAGCCAACAATGTGATGTGGCGGCAAAAAAAGCCAATGGTATTTTGGCCTGCATCAATAGGAGCATAGTGTCTAGATCTAAGGAAGTAATGCTACCCCTCTATTCCGCTTTGGTTAGACCACACCTGGAATATTGTGTCCAATTCTGGGCACCACAATTCAAGAGAGATATTGACAAGCTGGAATGTGTCCAGAGGAGGGCTACTAAAATGATCAAGGGTCTGGAGAACAAGCCCTATGAGGAGCGGCTTAAGGAGCTGGGCATGTTTAGCCTGAAGAAGAGAAGGCTGAGAGGAGATATGATAGCCATGTATAAATATGTTAGAGGAAGCCACAGGGAGGAGGGAGCAAGCTTGTTTTCTGCTTCCTTGGAGACTAGGACGCGGAACAATGGCTTCAAACTACAAGAGAGGAGATTCCATCTGAACATAGGAAGAACTTCCTGACTGTGAGAGCCGTTCAGCAGTGGAACTCTCTGCCCCGGAGTGTGGTGGAGGCTCCTTCTTTGGAAGCTTTTAAGCAGAGGCTGGATGGCCATTTGTCAGGGGTGATTTGAATGCAATATTCCTTCTTCTTGGCAGGGGGTTGGACTGGATGGCCCATGAGGTCTCTTCCAACTCTTTGATTCTATGATTCTATGAAAGCACACTGAATTAGAACACCTGCTGAGTCGAAAGGCTGAACAGGGCATAGGGTTACAGCCTGTGCTGGATGGGATTACATTCCCCCTGAAGGCACAGGTTCACAACTTGGGAGTCCTCCTGGATTCATTGCTGAGCCTGGAACTCCAGTTTTCGGCCGTAGCCAGGGGAACTTTTGCACAGTTAAAGCTAGTGCGCCAGCTGCGCCCGAACCTTGGGAAGTCTGGTGTGGCCACAATGGTCCATGCCCTTGTAACATCCCGAATAGATTACTGCAATGCACTCTACATGGGGTTGCCTTTGAAGACTGTTTGGAAACTCCAAGTAGTCCAATAGGCAGCAGCCAGATTACTCAGTGGAGAGACATACAGGGAGCATACCACCCCCTTGTTATGTCAGCTCCACTGGCTGCCGATCCACTTCTGAACTCAATTCAAAGTGCTGGTTTTGACCTATAAAGCTCTATACGGTTCTGGCCCAGCTTACTTGTCCAAACGTATCTCCCTCTACAGCCCACCTTCTTTGCAAATGTGTTTGGCAGGGACGAGAGACAGGACCTTTTAGGTGGTGGCCCTCCACCTGTGGAACACGCTCCCCAGCGAAATTAGGTCAGCTCCATCCCTCCTTTTCTTTAGGAAGCAGCTCAAAATATGGTTTTGGGACCAGGCATTTGGGAAACAGGCTTGACAGCAAATGCAATGTTTTGGAACGGACTATGGACAGGCTTTGGACTGGGTCGTTGGTCGCTGAATTGGACTCGGATATGGAAATATGGTTGATAATGTTTTAAATGGATTTTAACCTAATGTTTTTATCTGCTCTATTATGTCATGTTGTATTGTGTTTTTGTATGTTTTGGCACTGAATTGTTGCCGTTGTAAGCCACCCTGAGTTCCCCCTCAGGGGTTGAGAAGGACAAGGTACAAATGTTTGAAATAAATAAATAAATTGTAAAATATTTTTTTCAAGATACTCTCATGGGTTGACAGGCTTTCCAAATATAATTACCCATCATACTGTTGTGGTTTTAGTTCTTATTTCCATTTTGCTTATTCTCTGAATTGTAAGCTGCTATACTCAAGAGGTTTGTAAAAATCATAGCTGTGGGAGGATGTGTCAATGCTCAAATGACCCTGTTGGATTAATGAACTCGAGTAGGCCCTATACTTTCATTTATTCAATGCAGTGCTTCAATATATCAACCAGCTGCTGCCTCCTTTTGTGATCTGTGCTTCAATATATCACTCTATTAACTCAGGCCTTGAGTATGGAGTACGGGTAGCTTTGTTACATGTCAAAGAATGCTGCTTTAAAAAATCTGAACCAGTGCAAGATGAACAACACTTAACTTTCCCAGCAACAAAGAAACATGTAATAAGACATGGCTCCATCAGTGAGGATATTGATAAGCAACAATGACTGCCACTCTTGATTTTTCAAAACTGAGCTGAGGCTAAAGAGCAAAGGTTATATCATTAGAAAGGAATGAAGGGATAAACGAGAACTGATGTTAGCTTTCGTGGTCTCTTTCATGAAAAAGACTCGAGTGATTGGAACAGAGAAACAACCTGACATCTGAAGAAAACCAACCTGCTCAGTAAAAGCCATTTGTCAGCAACTTTCATCCAAGTGCAAAGATACTTCCCTTGTCATTGAGTCAATAGAAAAGTCACTTTAATGTTAGGAATTAGATTACAGCAAGGTATAAAAGAAAACAAACTCTAACAACGTCCTGAGCCACAAGCTATATTCTGGACTCCATAGTTTCTTATTCCTAATTTGAGTCTCATACTGTGGTGAAAGCATGTGACAAATGCTTTATTGTGTAAGAGCTGTATACTTACATGAGAATCAAGGAATCTAGATACATTGTGAGTAATCAATTTTCCCAAATGAAAAGCATCATCCACCTTCATTCCTCGGGCTCAGAGTTATTCACAAGCTCATTTCACCCAACAATAAAAGGTTATTTTCCTCTTCAGCAAATATCTAGTGAAATCCCCCTGATATTAATCTGTATACTTTCTCTCACTGTCCTATCCAGCAGAAATACACTCCCAATTGAACCCTATTATCAGCTTCACCTTCCACACTAACAAGAAAACTGAGGACAGAACTGGAAAACTATAGCTTGCTAATTCACAAAAGCAACATAAACAGAATTTCAGAAGGGAGTGAAACCCAAAAATTTTAAGAATAACACTGACACAAGGGAGCCTCAACAGAACGGTAGTGTCTGGATCACTCTTGTTCATGCTTCAGGCAAGTCAGCATGCCTTTTGTCATAATCCATATATCCTGTGACAGTAAGCATGCCAGTTTTGCTTTTTCTTGTTCTAAAGTCATTTTCTTACTTCTGTAAACCTTAAGACTATCTTCTCATGTACAGATTACTGCTGTTCTACCTACAGAGAGGTTCACAGTCACACAACTGGATTTGTTATGAGTTTACATGGTATGTGGGCAAGAAAAGATACCTGAACCTGCATCGTCTTGGACTCTCATACGCTGGATGTGTAAATTCGTGGGAACAAATTCCAACTTCTTGTCAGCTTTCAGGCTACTTGCTTTGAAAGATGGACCTGAGGAAACATATGAATAAATTATTTTTTACATCACAAAACACAACCAAATACAGGAGAGCGAAGGGCAGAAACAAATTCCAATTCAAAAATATAGTTCAAGTTCTTCTCTGTAAATAAGACAAGATTTCCTAGAGAGAGGGGTGGCTTTTCTTTCATGATATAGTCAGGATAAAGAGCAAAGATTCCAAATTTTCGGTCCTTTAAGTTTTTACAGATAATTTGTTCTGTGGCCTTTCTTAGTCCCTAGTGGTCCAGGAGAGACCCTCAGAGAACCAAATTTGATTTGGGAGTTTTTGATTAATTTGTTGTTTACTTGTTCCGTTGTTTCCGACGCTTTGTGAATTCTGATTAATACAATTCTTTAAAAGATATACTGATGCTTATCATCAATTGTTTGTTACATGTTTATTTAATTCCCCAGATACTTTCAATGCAGGGCCAAATGCAAGAGAATACGAATAGAATTCATTTTATTCCCCTCCCTTGGTTTACACATACAGACACGTCTTTTGAATTTTTTTTAGGAACCAGGCCAAATTCTGGCTGCTTTCAGTGATATATAAATATGTTTTCCATAATTTCTATTGCTCTTTATCTGTTGTTAGTTTTTCCTTTGTAATTTCATGGCTGGATTTTGTTTAATTTTAATGATGGATTGTTTGCATTTTATAGATTGCAGAGATTATTTGCATATGATTTGTTTGAAGGTATAAGCTATGTAAACAAACAGAAGAGTAGGAAACTGCGCAGCCTCAGGCAGCCCTGTGTAGCTTTCCCTGTAGTAACTTGCACTGGACAGAAAAAGTAAGGCTACATGGCATACAGGAGGCATACTTGCAACAAACCAACTGTGGTGATCACACTACTAATCAGCTCTGTGGTGATGCCCACTTCATACAATCAAACTCTTCCTAAGATATTAATGCTACCCAGATTCCTCCTTCCCCCAACTTATTATGTTAGGATGTTCTTTTCATTGTCCAGCTCTACTTTTTCAAACATTAGCATAAACCTAGTGGTGGAAGTGGTTATGATGCAGAATAAATATAACTTTGTTGTATGCAATTTTGGTCAATGTGGTTATAATGAAGAATAAATACACTTTTATTACATACAATTTAAAATCTTACATAGGGTTTATATTAATCCTCATTTCATAAACACTTGTGACTGGAGTATTTCATTTTATGTATATCCTTCCTTACTCCTGAACGAGACCCAAAGACAACATGAATTAACACAAGATACAGGAATTACAACCTAAAAATAAAAAATAGAAAACAAATGAGCTAGTGCATCAAAACTGTTGCAGATCAGACATAAGGAAAGCTCATCAGGAAAGATGAGCTTTCCTGTGAATGATTCAGAGAGGATTGCGAGTTTTCCTGTGGCACAAAGTAATGGGCCCTCAAGTCTGGGAAATGATTATTCTATCTGTGAAAAAACCAGCTCAGAAATGCAGGGCCTCAAGGGCATTCAGGGGAATTGGAAGTAACACCAGCAGATAAGGAATCAAGTGAAGAACTTAGTGATAAGGAGGGTTCTCATGGGAGTCTACCTGCATCGATGGAGATCAACAAAAGTCTTCATTTACAAATCAGAGCCAAAATAAATTATGTGGTTCAGAGAGATTATGTGGGAAAGTTGTGGGAAAAAAATCACGAGAAATGGAATAATTTCAAGGGTGTCTATTTAACAAGTTGTTTACCTTAAGGTCAGTTCAGGCAACACTGTGTCAGAGTGTGAAGCTAAGCCTGAGTTCTCTTGTTCCTGGTTCAAGACAAGTTTTGATTTTGGATTTTATATAACCTGGAAGTTTTTTTTATGTTACTGTTAATGTTCAGGTTTTACTAGTTATATCTTGATTCCTGGCTGTTACTGGACTTTGCCACCTCTGGAACTTTATGAGACATTTGGATATTATCTTTTATTAAACTTTTTGGATTATATATCTGTCTTTCTTATTACTAATTTTTTATGCTTTTTATATATCTTTTACAATAAACTGTTTGCTTATATTCCTGGACTCTTGTGTGGTGGGGTGGTCATAGGTGTTTCAAGGCTTGGAGTGCAACAAAAACATCCATACTTTAAAACAAAATAAAGTAATTAAAAACCTGACAAAAACAATGAAGCAGTAAGGCCCCCATTAAAGACCTTTCTAGCAACTTAATTCCAAAAAGAGAGCAGGGAGGAAAGAGCCTAGTTTACTGTGCCAGAGCCTGAGACACCACAGAGGTGATTCCCTTCTAACTACCAAACACAAAATTCTCTTAGAGAGTACAATTTTCTCCTCAGAATTTAGATCCTACCTCTGTATCTTCTTTGGGATCTTAATCCTATTTTATATGGTCATCTCATCGTTCCAATAGTACCTCCCACCTCCATTCTCTCAACCAATCATCAAAGCTCTACAGGAATGTATTCCATCCAATGTTCTACATTTGTCACATCACCTTCATATACGTTCATAACAATACCTACTATGTAATATTCCAGAGTAAAAATACAAACCATGCAAACAACATATTATGCAAAACAATGCTCATGCCTTCCAATGTTATATCCTCCATATGTCATGGCACATGCACAAGTTAAGGCACAGAGCTTTAATGTCAGTGATAATAGTTTGGTCACATTTTTAAAAAATGACAACTTTCACGTAAAAAAAAAAAGGCGAATGATAATACAGAAGATGATCTGGAATAGTTACAAAAAGATGGCTGAAACATGGCATTCTCCATTATGAAAACAGTGGTCAATTACCTTTGTACTGATGAAGGTTTGTGAGGTTGTCCTGGTAGGTCAGAATGATAGTTTGGTATTGAGTCACTATTTGCCGCCGAAGACTTTCCCAGCAAGGAGACAGCTCTCCCAGTTCCTCAAGTTCACAAACCCTGCCAAATATCCAAAGGTATTGAAATGAAACAAGGTCGAGTATGTCTAATTAAAAGCAAAACACTTCCCCTGCTTCCATTAATTTATTTATATTTGTGTGACACAAGATACTGCACAGATACAGGAAATATTGCGCTTATCTGTAGAACATGGGCACCGAAACTGGAGGATGAAAGAACACTAACAATGCTAACATGCCAGAACTACCAAGTGAAGAACAGCAAAACTGCGCAAAAACATTCTTTAGCATAGAAAAGGGCAGAACTAGAAGTTAGGCACATGTCGCAAATATGCTCTTTTGGCCTCAATAGGGTTGCCAGGTGAAAAAGGAGACAAAACTCCTTTTAATGACTGTATAGAAATGGGGATTGTAGCATGTATTGGATATTACACAACCAAGTAACAAGCAACATTTGCTGAAAATTCCTTCTTCTACGCAATCACTAAAAGGATAAAAGCACTGTCCCTTATCATATTTGGCATCCATAGAAACAGTTGCATTACTACACTATCAATACAGTAGTACTTTGTATTATAGGCTGTATAATGGGACTAAAATTGGCATGTAACACACTCAGATTGTCACCCCAACTGGCCTACTGCATCCTATGATAGCCTTGTCAGCAGAAGGTATGTCTGGCACAACCACAAGGATGTGATCCTTGAAACAAATTCCGCAGTAATTATTTGGCTGAAGCTGTAAGCCGTGTTTTGCCATTCGGAGAGTGTCTCCTGCAGAGTTTGGCAGTCAGGGATGGGAGCAGAGAAGAAAACCTAGGCAGCCGTTGGCAGGCTGCCTTTAGAAAGTAATCATTTTTAAATTTTGTACTCTATAACGGACACATCCATTGTAGGGTGAAAAAGTGAGGAGTTGGCTCTATGTCAAAAGCTGGAAGAGACATCTATTTATTTTTATGGCTCCATCACAATTGGCATCATCATCTGCTTTCTTCCAAAATACTGAGTCATTTCTCCGTTTCTCTCTAAATCTAGGGTTTTTAAAATTCTTCTTTGGCTTTTGAGACATATGAATTGCTTGAAACCTTGCTCTTTATTTGACACTTTTTTTTACTAAGACAGGGTTACTATTTTCACAGAGTTGGCTTTTTTACAAAAATAAACACCAAAGGTACCTTAAACTCTAACAGCTCTATTGTGCCACATGTTCTATGGTCTACAGTCCACATTATCAGTGTTATTCTGAGATGCAAACACACACAGGAGACAACTATACGGCGTATAGACAGGGACAGTCATATGATTGTTACTTTTAGTACACTCTCCTTTCTCCCCTCATTTCAACTCCCCTCCACATCAGACTCATGTACCTTTATATCAGAGTCTGGAAATGTTACTTTCCCGAAAACAACTCCCCAGATCCCCATCGCCACGACAAATTGGGGGGATTATGGAAGTGGCAATCCAAAAAAGTACGGTAATTTTTCCAGGCTCTGATAAGAATGACACCTGTAATATAGCTTAAAGAGCCAGTTTGGTGTAGCGGTTGAGCACTGGCCAATGAGACCAGGGTTCAAATCCCTACTCAGTCATGGAGACCCATTGGGTGATGCTTGGACATATCACTCTCCCTGTCTCAGATGAAGGCAAAGGCAAGTCCCCTCTCTACAAATCTTGCTAAGAAAACCCTGTTATATGGACACCTTAGGTCTGCTGTAAGTTGGAAATGACTTGAAGGCAGGCAACAACAACAAAAACAATTCAGATTATTATTTCATGCATCCAATAAATACACTATGGTACAGAAAGCTTATGTCATAATAAGATGATTGGTCTCTAAAGATAAGACACTGATATCATACTAGTGTACCGAGTTACAAAATGCAGTCATTCAGTTCTTAACAATCTAGACTGTTTTTTACTATTGAAATCTAAACCAGATGCAGCGAGATATGATACATTTTCTACAACATTTTCTCTGTGCATGGCGGAGGACATGATTGTGCCTTCCCACCCTGCACACTGGAAACACCAAGACAATGTCATTCCTCCTGAATCTATATATGTAGTAAGACTTAAAAAACATCTCTGCATGAAAAATCAGTGCACCTAAGGCTGATCCAGCCGTCCTCGATACAATGTATTCCCAAAGTTTCAGCAGACAATTCAGGCCCAACATATATTTATGTTTCTGCTTTATAGGACAAATAATCTATGTTGAAAACAATGGAAAGTAATGTTTTCAAATGCAATTTCCTATGGCACCTACACTGAGTTAGCTATATATTCTGAATGTAGATATAACCGATTTTACCTTGCACTCTAGGGACCAGCTTTATCTAGGTATGCCCTATTTTGAAGCCTCCTTATTCGATATGCAACCACTGCGAAAGAGGATGCATATTCACAGACACTCAAGAAAATTAAGATCTTACTCAGTGCTGCAAAATCTGAGCCAAAGGGGAAGAGGATGACACAAGCAGAAATCAAAGTTTCAAAAATAATATTTCATCA